AAGTCCCTTGACCGAACACCTCAAGGGGATTGGGAGCTTGGGGCGCCGGGAGATCTACCTTAGTCGAGCCCTCTTGCTGCGGGGACTCTGACTCCAGAGTCCATCCACCAGACGTTTAGATTCTGCCGAGGCTAGTCTTAGCCCCAGGGCTGTCACTCCTGCATATTAAAAAAGCACCTCAAGCAAGCCCTCTCGAAGTGCGTGCACATGGCACATGTGCACCTCAAAGCCTATTTGGAGGATGTTTGTTGCACCTACGTGTCCACAGCGCCATCGCCTGTAACAAATCTGTTGTTCGATTGTCACGAGCTCTTTGTGAGCAGTGTGTGATGAGCAGGAAGTGGGAGGAGTCGACGAAGTTTTTGGCCATTGGGGGGCAGGTCACAAGACCGCATTGTTTATACCCCATCGACTGATTCCTCCAACCCCTCTTAGCGCTGACCAGGGCTTTCAAGAATGAGGGCTTAAGTGTGTGAGGCTGCATGGCAGATGGCTTCCGTTCGGCACCTTTGTTGTGTTTAGGGTTTTGCGTGTTCATGATAGAGCCTCAAAGCCCTAAATACTCATGAGGGTTCGAAGGCTCTAGGCGTTGTAGGGTATAAAGGGTTTGGGGTGGCAGAACTTGAAAGGAGCTCAGAATGCTTGGGAACGCAATCACCCTAGAGCCATCGACATCCCTTAGGTCTGCCCCAAAGCATGCTCAAACCCAAAGCACTCTCAAACACTTGCAACAGCCAGAAGCTACAACCCCCCAGGGCATAAACATCCGCAGTGTAGCAGGATGGCATATAAGCGCAGAAACACGGATGCCTCAAACCCCGCCAGACCAAAAGCTTTGGGCTTTGTAAGGTCGGGGGCGAGTTTATGGCCGATGGGTTCAAAGTCCCACCATGCGTATCCAGTTGAGCCAGCCGAGCTCTTCGAAAGAAGAGAACTTCATGCAACGACGATAGCAACAATGCTCAATTACATGTGAGCCATAGCCAAACTATGCCCGAAGCCCACGGCATCTGAACCCGAAATGCTGAATCCACTGGCAAAAGGCGACTATGGACGTGGCTGCCAAGGCTGCAGTGTTACAGCGATCCGAAGCTGAGCTACGCAAGGCCCAGGCGAGGTGTCGGATGTATCGCTCGCTACTAGTGTTCCGAGTTGTTCTTGGATGTATGCTTTCTGCAAGCGCTTACGATGTGCCATGTACGCCTCGAGCTGAAGGTTTTTTTTGCCTTTGCACAGGGGATGTTCTTGGCTGCCAGGGTATCATGTTTGCACGGCTGACCGCAAGCTCGTATCACCACACACAGAGATGTTGAGCCTGGTGTTGAGGTGAGCCTTCACGTCATGCACTTCATGTTAGCATTCATCAGGGCTGAGGATGTTAGATTTGTAACCGTTGTATCAGGTGCGGATAGCATGGTTGAGAATGAATGTAAGCGCGAACTTTTCCAGTAGTAAATTTGAATTCAGCTTGTGTTTTTAACTTTGGGCTTTGCACGTGAAGTTCATTTTTGCTGCGCAGGGCGTGGCAAAAGCAACGACTGGTCCCGTGGTGTAACTGTGAGCACTCACTGTGAGTCGCCGGTTATCGGTGAAATCCGTGCGGACTGTTGTTTCATGGGTTTTGTTGCTTGTGGGCTCAATTTCGAAGAGCAACAAAATACTGGCTCCAAGGGGCTTTTCAGGTCCTTTAAACGGCGGAGGAACACTGGGCGGCACTGCCACTCTCCTCTTGTTAAACCGATTCTCCTCTTGTTGAACCGATTCTGCTCAGCTGGGAAGGTACGGCTGTTGGTTGTCAGGCAGTCAAAAGCGAAACAGGCTGGTATGTTTTCGTGATTTGTGTCCTCCTAGAGGTGTTATCACAGCGCAAGCCCAAATAGCCTGAAAAAATGTGCGTTGCTCTTGTTCGCAGCACTAGCGAGCCTCGATGGTAAGTCCATAAGTCCCAATGACTACTTACTTGCCTACTTGGAACTAGTTACAGAATACCAGTTGCTAATTACTCATCAAGACTCCCTGGCACCACGCTGGTTTGGGAGTCAAATGAAAGGGGGGTTTGACCGGGCTCCGCTTTCCAGCGGTCCTTCAGAGCCGGGGGTTGCCCTACAGTAGGGGCTGCCTCTAGGGACTCTCGGGCTCCTTGAGATTAGGAGAGCCGCAGGGGTCCGGCCACATAGTGCAGCAAAAGCCTGTCAAACTGCAAAACAACAAAATCATCCGCCGCCCCTGCCTTTGCTAACAGAAGTGTCTGCCACATTTTAAGAAAACATCAGGTCCGCCACGGCTTGGAAAGGAAAGTCCGCGGGAAATCGTATAGCTTGGGCAGGATGCTGTCGAGGAGGCTGAGATGGAAGCCACGGCAGAGGCTGAAAGTTGCTTGGTTGCCACCTTTGTTTTGTGTGATCAGCGTGAGGAAGGAGGCTTGAGGTTTTTGGATCTCCAGTCGGATGCCTTGAGGCGGTTTCGGGAAGGCTTAGAGGAGTTGATCACGGCATGTTTTAAACACAGACACTTGCTTTACTGACGCTGAACATATCTCAACATCTAACCCTAAGCTTACCTAAGCCCGTTTGAACCCTGAAGCACCCAGTGCGTCGTCATTTGAAAGTTGAACGCCGAGGCTGTGAACCACCCGCCAAGGACAACGAGGAGGGGGGGGAGGAAGAGGCCCGGTGCCTCGAAACCTGACAGCCATTATTGTTAGAGCCCGGGCACCTGTACGTCTCAAGCTCGGCGAACGCTACCGCCCCACCGTACCCCCCCCCCCCCCCCATCACCAATCAAGCCCTCAAGCCCGCAACCATGAGACGAAACCCTGGGAGGCTGCGAAGCTGGGCACTAAGTGCGCCAAGCTCCAGACCGCACGGCGGGCACTGCAGCTTGCGGAGCGGCGCGTGGCACCTTGCCAAAGATGGTGCACCCAGGTTTAGGCCCGAATGCGTGGGCGAAGATGAAGATGATGAAGTGAAGGTTATGCATACAGGAGTTTCAGCTCGAATCTTACTTGTGTTTTGAGTCTGCAAGTATAGGCAAGGTGGCAAGACTCGGCTTTTGAATCGTGGAATTTGGGAGATGGCTGTTTGCACGGGCTCATGCCGGTGCACGCGCAGGCGAAGGCAGCGTTTATCAATGTGAGCCCTCAAGTTGAAAAATCCTGTAAATGACGGCTTGAGTGACACCCAGGGGCCCAGGTTCGCCATGGCATGGTTGAAGCTTCATCCAAACCTTTAACCTCATCTTGAATACTCTGTTGCAATCAGGATGTTGGGTGTGGGTTGGTCTATGTGTTTCCACGTTCTTGCTTTTGGGAGTTTAGGGCTATCTCGACAGGGATGGGTAGGATTTGCATCGCTCAGTGTAGGCGGAGGCCCTTCGGAAATGCGGCAGGAGTTGGATTCTCGGAGTAGTGGTTGGGTAACACAAAGTTCTGGGGTCGAAATAGCTGAGCCAGCAGCTGCACGAGAGGATCCAAGATCCGCAGCACTTAGATCACTGGTAGTGATGAGCGGGGAAAAGAGGAAGCGGGCAGGAGTTTGCCTTCCTGCTTTCCTATGCTGGATCCGCGGGTGCTGGGTGATTATGGCCACCTCTCGTCGTTCCGTATGGCGCAGGCTCGGCCCTTGTGTGCCACAGAGCCGTGGCTGCCTGTTGTTCAGTAATTAGTTGCTTAGAATGGCTGTGCTGTGCTTTCACGTCGTGGAGCTTGGACACATCTCCGAAGGCGCAGTGTGTGTGTGTGTGTGTGCTCGTCCGTTGTTATGCTTCTCACTCTGCATCTTTCCGCCGCATTGCTTTTCTGCATGTTCCGCGTTTCTGTTTTTATGTATTCCTTATTTAGAGCTCCTTTTGTAGAATTGTTGGGGCGCTTCCGAGGCCTCCGAGGCCTCCCCCCCTTGCTTGCTGCAACGGGTCGGCAGGTAAGTCATTTTGTGCACCGGCCCAGTGCCCATCCAAGAATCAATTCTAAAGCCAAGTGCTTGCAGGGGTGTTTGCAAGGCAGCCGACCTCCCTAGCACGACATGTGCTGTGACACTTTTCCAGCACCATCGAATCCGGCAAAAGGCTTGGGATGCCCCCCCCCCCCCCCCCAGTTTCGACACTGGATGGGATGCGAAAGCTATGGCTATGCATAGTAGTTTTGTTCCAGTAGTTTTTTTCCAGTACCTTCCGATGGGAAAAAGATATAGCAGATTTTTGGGAATGTGGGCCCCAGGTCGGGGAGGGAATCATGTGGCCCTCGAGGCGTGCGCGATCCTCAGGTGCTGCGAAGCCATGTCCGTTCAGCCACATGGCCGATGCAGCAAGCCAAAGTCTCTGGCAGCAGATCCAAAGTCCTCAAATCCTGCATTTCAGGTACAAGACCGCTGCGCTGTGGAGAAGGCGCAGGACATCTTCTAGCTTACGGCTTTTGGTGTGGTTGGCGGGACTTCGGACACTTTCAAATTTAGGATTGGTGGCTGAGAGTAGCTGCGGGCTCCGGGCTCAAGGTCGCGGCAAATGTCGTACGTTCTCGGTCTCAAAGCCAAGTGTGGCAGCTATTACTATGACTATGAGTCTCTAGCAACAAGGATTGTCTTTACTGCCCGGGTGTGTTTACATGCGAAGCATGGCAAGACAAAAGCGATTGACAACACCCAAAAGGACGGCCAACATCACTTTGTGGTTGGCTGTGTGGACAGGCTTCTCTCTCTCTCTCTCTCTCTCTCTCTTTCTTTTCGGCCTTGTGTGCCGGCCTCTTACCTCATTTTGCGGTTTCCCAGATGACTAGTTCACAGACAGAGGCTTAGGCAGAGGCATGCGTCCGAGGTCAACTTAGGACCGCATGCTTCACTCACTGAGGTCCGACGAAGGAGACGGAAAAGTATAGCTGGGCTTGCCTTCTTGGGTTCTTCCCCTTGGGTTGCTCTTTCCCGTAGACTCTCTTTGGCTTGCCCTCTCCTTGGCTCCGCCTGCTTGCTCGAGCTGGCTCTCACGAAGTGTCTCCCCCGTTGCCTGCCGACATGGAGGGTCGACTCCATCTCAGATCCTTCAGCCTCTCCTTCCAAGCTTTGTTGTGGCTCACCTTTGAAGCCTTCAGCTCCAGCTCGGCCGATATGGCACACACTCATAGCGATGAGCAAATGGGTCTCTGCGTCCACCTGGATTCGGTGCTTGAAAAATTTAGAGAAAATTGAGCCTGCAGAAGCTTGGAGTTGAGGTCGTTGAAAGCTCAATCCGGCTTGAGGGTTGGAGGATGCTCTTGTTCAGAGTCTAGGATGGAGGTCTGAAATCGGCCCATTGGGGGAGGGTGGTCTCAAGGAGCTGCGGCTCATGGACGAACACCGCAAGGCGTTGCAGCGGGATCGTGAGAAGCATGAGGCACGGTACCTCCTAGCCTGCCCTCCGCTCCAACTTTCATTGAACTGCTTCATTGAACTGGTTCATTGAACCTTTCAAGTCATTAGTAATTAGTGCCAGGATTTCAGTAGGCTCAGGCCTCTGAGATGCCTCCGAGGTTCTCCTTTCCACCTGGACTTCAATTGAAGTACGGCTCGTCTAGCTTTAAACTTTCTAGCTTTACACGAAAGAGAACCTGCTGATTTTGTAGGGCTGAGCTTGCCATGTTGTGTGCGTTGGTGTCTACGACATTCTACGACTTGAAGGAGCCCTTCGAACGTGCACGGAAGATAGCGGTGCACGAGTCTTTATAAATCCAGCTCACGACCTTCAGCGTTGAAGGTCTAAGCCGAGGGGAGGCCTTAAGGCTGTCAGGTTCGAGATCTTAGGCCTTAAGAATCTGTAAGCCGACTGTTCGGCGAGTTTGGATGGCGTAGGTCCCGTGGTCTTAGGCGGTGGTTGGTGTGGGGGGGTGGGAGGGGGTGTAGGGCTTGCGGCTTGCGGCTTGCGGCATACATGAGTACTGATGTGGTAGTTAGTCAGTCGCACTTGTCAGAGGAAGACCTCCGCGTGGCTTTGCAGAAGGCAGGGTGTTTGTAGCGCAGGGAGGTCACACAGGCTTCGATCCTTCAGCACATGTGAGAAATAGTCGGCACTCTTGCATGACTTCCTTCAGACTTCTGAGCGTTTTTTTGTGTTTTCGGAGTACTCTCCTGCTATACAGACCGGAATCAAAACTTTTGCCCTGCTTGAGCGCAGGGAGTTCAGGGAGCTCAGGCTGTAGTTCTTGGGGTTGCAAAGATGCCTGGTGGCAGAATGCTGATTGGAACAGAGGGGTGCTTTCAGGAGCTCATGTTTTGCTGCCCGGAGTCTGCAGATCGCCGAATGAGAAACACTATAGAGATGATGAGCTGGCGCCTTCGCGCATGCGGTGACCTCCAGTGAACGTCACTGATATCCGCACAACCGAAATCTTAAGCCCATGACTCCGTGACCCCTTGACCCCACAATTCTGAGCCTGTATAGCTCCGCGGTTCTCCACGAACCTGCCCGTTGTGATCTCAGCAGACCTGCAACGTTGCCCAAAGTCCAGGTGAAGGCCATCAACATGGAGATTCAGAGAAGCTGGGCAGCACTAATTACGTCGCTCTTCGGGCCTGGTGTGCGCACTTAGATTGTTAGGGTAACCAAGGGCGGGGTACTGGTTGGGTCTCACAGGGGTCTGAAGCTTCGAGCCTTAAGCCACTCCTGTTGATAGGTGTCGATTTGCAAGCCCGCTCCACAACTGACGCCCGAAATCTGAAATTGCGATGTTACAACGAGGTGGCCGTGTGGGCTTGTCCTGGTTTAAACTAATCTCTACTCGGTTTTTGGAAGATGGGTCTGAGGGCCCTGAGGGCCCTGCGTGGTTTCCAGCTGCTTTGAATTGCGGAGGAAACGGATCTCGGCATCCAGAACTCCACGTGCCATTCATTGCTGCACCTCGGCAGCTGGAGGGAGCCCTGGAATTTCAGGCTCTGGAGGTTCTGAATATGTTTAATACTGAAACCAACTAATCAAGTGTTGACTACTAACTACTGGATTTTAGCTAGAAATTACGACCTGCAAACTACTAGCTGTTAACTGCTAGAAGCAAATTGCTGGCTGCTAGCTAGCTTCACTCTCCGCGGAAGTTTCTGAGATTTGGCGCGCCAGGGTTGTTCGGCCGGCTTCTATGGAGGTGGGTACTCCTTGGCGGGTCTCCTGGCACCCTCCCTCGAAGAATCCCGCCGAGTATCCGTGGAGTGCCATTCTTCCAGCCCGCCAATTGCCCAAGCCCGGACTCGGCGGGGAATCGGGCACTCCAGGGATGCTCGGCAGGATTCTCTGCAGGCTTCCCTGGGGGTGGAGAACTTCCGAGAACCCCTTTTTGGTGGGGCTTCCGTTCGGATAGGAGTCAATCTTTTAATGTCCGCCCATGTCGGTCCCTACTTTGGTTCCATGTCCATACGCGTCCATGCACGTCCTAATTCTCAGAGCCCGGTGCTCCTCTTCTACAGTGGCCAGCAGGCGAAAACACCACCGCTATTGACGCGGTGCATTTAGTGTTGCGTTTCCTTTGCTTTTTGCTTCAAAACACACGGTGTCCAGGTCCAAGGGCCTGCAGATCAGCTGGCGTCAGCGAGACGCCTTGGCGAAGTGGAGGCTTGTGTTTCAGGCCAGTGACATCACGGGCGGCGGGGCATTTCCAGGCTGCAGCCAGTCCGGTCTGGGGTTGGGGGCTTTAGGTCGACGCCAGTAAACACAGCTTAACCGGTATAGGGCTAAAGTAGATCGGTAAAGTTCCCGACAACCATTCACCAGATACTGTACATTATGACCGCACTTTGTTTTCGTGTATCTGTCGCTATGGGGCACTTCATGGTGTGAGACGACAGGGCCGCCCTGGTTTGTGTAGCTTTAGCTCCAGGCTGCTAGTTCGATGCTAAAGCGCCTCGACTGAAACCTTGCTGCGCTCTCCAGGCGAATGGTGCGCTTCTGTGGAGTTGCAGAAACCCGCGGCCGCTCTGCTAAGCTGTGGTTTTGGAGGGCTGGGTCCGAGAGCTTTGAGTTTTGGGCATAGCTCTCAACATCCGACCTCGAACATCAAACTCAGTCAGAACCGAACGTTCTGCAACCCGGAAGGTCCAACATCAAAGTTGGCGGCCTCCAACTCGAAGCAATGAACGCCGAAGCACCACTCTCACATGCGTAGGGCTTAATGTTTCATGCTACAGGCTCTCAAACCAAAACGCCCACAGTACACGGGCAGTTGAATCCTAAATCAACCCAGGCCCCAGAGCCGGGACTCTGAAGTGCTGAGGTCGAAATTTGCATCCTAGTGCGCCTTCTTGCCCCGCTCCTCACTGAAGAGCCGGTGACAGAGGCCACTGAGCCTGGAGCCACGAACCAGGCGGGACTTCGTGAGCCATAAAAATCCGCCAAAGCCCCAAGTCCAGGCACTTCGGCATACTTCGACTTTGCAATGGGCAATGCTGCGCAGTTTGGCCTCAGCACGCAAATTCACACAACCTTGTGGCCGCACGCGCATGCCAAGTTGAGAGCACGTGGCGCAAAGCGAGCCCTTCGTCCCGGAGACAAAGAAGCCAACCCCAGAGACCTCATAAAGCGGTTTAACGGTTTAACCATCCAGATAGGATGATCCCAACGAGTTCAACCAGCTAAGCCTTGGGGCCCCACTGCCTGCCATGACACACATGCAACCCCAACTTCCTGACTTTCAAATGGTGTGTTGAATGGAGTCCCTCCTGCTAGAAGTGTAGGGGTTCAGGCGGTTAATGCGGTTAAGGCTTGAAGGGTTGGAGGATGCTGCCGAAAGTGGCGACAGAGCTTGCGGTTTGGGCGACCATCCTGAGCTTTAAACACTGAAAGCGCGAGGTGCTGCGTTTGGATGGTCTTTGTGGGGCCTCTGGTGCCAAAGATGTGCCAGCCGCCAGGCATATCCAGGCATGCTGACTGGGGTGACCCGAAAGCCCTGCAAGACATTGGCCTTGTACTGCACAAGAGCACAGTGCTTAGACGTCCTCCAAGCTGCTCTGAACGCCTACATCGCTTCAAACCCAACCCAAACCTGGTAAGCAGCTTGCACCTCCAAAAAAGATCCCCAAGGTTCTCCTCAAAACCTGTAAAACGTCCTGGAACATGGCCGCATTCTGACCTGGAAGCGTTCGACTTTGTTGCCATGAGAGCGTGGACTACTTTACAACCACGAGTTTCATTTTTGAAAGACATGCTTACGGCGATTCATGCGTGTGAGGATGGCGAATACCCGTCGAGTGACGTGTGGACTTGCATGGGTGACTTCCTAAACCCGTCTGTCCCCATCTCCGGCTAAGGCCTGTCAATGCCTGCCAGCCCAAACCTCGACATCCCTTAGGCGCTGTGCCCCTGAAAACCAGTCAATCTATAAGCCCAGACCACCTGAAACCTGAACCCAACTCTAGTACTGAACCGGCACTAGAGTTGAAATGCCCAAGGAGAGCTCTTACGCCGTGGTCTCCAGCGAGCGTGCTGCAGAAATTCGGGCAATTCCTCATGACAGGCCTTTGAGTCTTAATGTCGTATCCTGATTAGTCTGGACCCCTCCAATAATGAAAAGTTTTCCAAAAATTATTCAGGAGACAAAAATTCGATTGCCCCCCCCACAATAAAGTAAAGTTTTTCGGGCATGGGTTTCGGAAGAGAGAAAAAAAGAGAACAAAGATGATGAAAGAAAAGAGCAAAAGAAGAGCAGCTTCAAGTCGGAGTTCTGAGCTGTCATCCCCAACCTGAGCTGAAGGAGAGGGAGAGGAAGAGGAGAGGGAAGAGGAGCGAAGAGGAAATGAAGAGGAGCCGGTGGGGGGGGCCCGGGGCCGAAAATTAGTTTGGGGGGTCCCTTTTTTTTGGTGACACTATTGCGGGGGTGGATTTAGTTTGGGGGGGGGGGGGGGGGGCCCCACACTAATCAGGATACCACATTACTGGTGCAAGCAACGTTGACCCATCCAGACTTCCTGACCACATTCATTGCTACACACTGTCCAATCTCTCTCTCACCCCCTCCACCCCCTCATCCACCCCCTCCACTCCACTCCAAGCCCCCTCCGCCACCTCCACCACCCCCTCCTCCTCCACCCCTCCAACACCCCTCCACCATCCTCCACCCCCTCCACCCACTTCCCCACCTGCCCAGATCCGTACTCTGCGAATTTGATGTGCAGGACGATTGCTACAAATCCTGCGCAGTCTTTTGAGATTTCGATAACCCCAAAGCTCGAATCATGGCCTCCAAAACGCCGGAGTCCTAGAGCTTTTAGCCTGCATGTTCCTTGACGACAAGAACCTGTCAATCACTGGACATACTTCGAAACCTCCCTTCCGGTGTCTAAACTCTGTTGTCCCATACCCGGCAAATCCCACCTGGTAAACGCATATCCGACAAAGCCCTGTCTCAGGCCACCCAAACCGCATGCTTTGACGCTGCTCCGCGCCTGGCTGGGCCTCGAACTCCACGTGCGGCTTTCGAAGGAGGAGTGGTTGGTCTTTGTTGTATTCAGAAGAACACCGTCATGACTGGCGTATCAAGGATTCCGGCAAGGTTTTTTGACGAATTTGGGAAGGGTACTCTTTCTTTAAACGCAAGGCTGCTTCTTGTTCCTTGCTTCAGGAACGAGGGGACCCTTGGGGTTTAGGTTTACGGTGGCCGGGGCTGACGGTTCAGGGCCCTACCCCTCAATCTGTTTAGGGCACTAATTCACTCTGCTTCCACTGGTTCCGCGGTGAAGGCACGGGTGTGAAGCAGGTCTCAACTTCGGGGCGCACACGTTCGTGTTTCTGGGTGTTTTGCTTGCCGCTCTTGCACCAAGCTTTGCTTGTCCATGTCGAGTTGGGAATGTACGGAAGCCGCTTCGTTTCGTAAGCTAATTTGGTACCAGCGGCCAGGTGGCTCGTGCCAGCCGTGCAGGTTAGCCTTACAAGTGTGTCAACGACTGTAAAGGCTGCCAGCCTTTGCTTTATGTGGGTGAGTTCATTGTCGCCTATCCGTCCAGAACTTGGCATATCTTGAATCAGATCACAAGCCTGAAGGCTAGCAGTCTTTTTTTCGATGCACAAAAGCCAGCTGCATCTCCCGTGAACCTGCCAAAGCCGTACGGAGGTTTGCTACACTACACGCCATCTTCCATAGTGCCCGATACCATAAGCCGCAAATAGCCATAAGCTAGAATCCCCCAAGGACTGCCTGCATCAATCCATACAGGTCAAATGCCTTACAATGCCAACCCAAAGGCCCCAAACTAAGAAGCCAGACAAAGCACATAAAACAGCAACCCCTCAAAGCCCCCACGGCCTTGCAGCTCTCCGACACCTTGGAGCGCCTGATCGGCCGCGGCGTGGCCAAGGGCCAGGAGGCCCTGCACAGCTACCTTAAGTGTTTGTTGTTTGCTGAATGCTTGAGTGCTTGAGTGCTTGACTGCTTGACTGCTTGACTGCTTGACTGCTTGACTGCTTGACTGCTTGACTGCTTGACTGCTTGACTGCTTGACTGCTTGACTGCTTGACTGCTTGACTGCTTGACTGCTTGACTGCTGCTGCTGCTGCTGCTGCTGCTGCTGCTGCTGCTTCCCTGCTGCTTCCCTGCTGCTTCCCTGCTGCTTCCCTGCTGCTGCTGCTTCCCTGCTGCTGCTGCTTCCCTGCTGCTGCTGCTGTTTCCCTGCTGCTGCTGCTGCTTCCCTGCTGCTGCTGCTGCTGCTTCCCTGCTGCTGCTGCTGCTGCTGCTGCTGCTGCTGCTGCTGCTGCTGCTGCTGCTGCTGCTGCTGCTGCTCCTGTAAATCTGAGCCTCCTGCAGGTCCCCTTGCTGGAGGGACTTGGGGCAACCTTGCGGATCTATCAGGCGCAGGGTTTCGCATGGATGGCGTCCAATGTTCGGAGCCCCCGCCAAAGATAGCTTTGCATTGTTTTGGGGGTTCTAAAAAAGTAAGGCAAACCCCTCAAGAACCCAAATAGCTACGGTAGCTGGTTGAAGGCCGCATGCCCAAGACTGTTTGACCGGTGGCTTGCCCCAGGACTCATTACGGCCCGGTGGGCTGGGGTTTGTCTAGTTGGGAAACGGCATTGGAGGCCGAACATCTAAGGAACGGCCTGGGATGTCTTCTCGCTGCTTGGATACTGCTCAGGTTAGTTTTATGTTCTGACTTTGTTTTAAGTCTAAGACTGAGAAGCTTCTGGACATGAGCAACTTTTTGCCGCTGACCCTTACAATGCAAAATACCTGACCGAGCCTCCAGGCAGATGACATGGGCTTGGGAAAGACCCTGTCACTTGGTTGCTTTGAGAACTGCTTTGCTTTGCAGGGTCCGTAAGGGAGAGTATAGGACTGTAAAGTAACAGAGGTGTCTGGCCAGCGACATTTCAGGCAATCCATCGCTCTGCTACTGCACCTCCGAGCCGAACAGCAGCTGGCACGCCCGGCACTGATCGTCGCGCCGTTGAGCGTCCTGTCACTCAGCACCATCAAAGCGACTGAAACTACGCAGGGCCTTTTATTTATCACTTATTAAGACATGTTCCCATGTCCTCTATTCAAGCCCTCTTTCGTGTAAACTTGCTGGCACGGTGAATGAAGGCTCTTCTCCCAAAAGTCCCGAGTGCCATACACGTTGCGTAGTTTCTTCCCATGAGCACCAGGACTTGATCAGTGAATGCTGTAGTTGGGATTCTAATGTGTTTTCCTCGGCCAAAGCAGGCATTCTAGAATGTAACAAAGGGTTGGAATTTGGGTTCGGGAGGCTATCTAAGCAATAACGCCACGTGGGCCGATCCCGAAAAGGCCACCAGCTTCCACGCAATTTACGCAAGCGTCCGTAGGCGGCGGGAGTATCTGAGACTTTGGAGGGGCAGCTAAATGCCTCGGCGGCTAAGTGCTGATGGTGTGAATGGATGCACGAGCTTCCCCTTGACCACAGCCAAGGGAAAATGCGCACCCCTTTGAGGGCGGGGTGGGGGGTATAGGGTATACGGTAGGACGTGGGTGGCCTGTGCTTCTTGGGTAAAAGGGGGGAGGGAGGGGAGAAGTGGTGAGGGTTTGGGTACCGTTAGTGGTTCATTAGTGTTTTTTAGTGGGCGGTCCATACGGCTTCTGGAGGGGGGGGGGGACTCGTCGGTTTTGCAAGCGATTGGGTACGGGGTTAGGGGATGCTGCTGCCAACGAATGGTGTATTCGGATTCCGTGCTGTGGGTTCATGGGGCAGCGGGAGTTTTTTTTTCCTCTTTTGTTTCGATGCTGATTCCTCCATCGGTCTAAACCTCAAACTCCGGACGACCCATAGCTCGAGCTGCACCAAGCAAGCTCTCAGAAGACGCAAGTGCGCATCCTTCAGTATCCAGAGAGATTTGGCTTTCTGCTCTCCAGTGTGCGTGGTAGGCTTTACTTCCATCGTTCTTGATTCGGCTCCGGATGGTGCGAACGCACAAGATAGCATAACCTTGGCTCAGCCCGAATCACGACCAAACCTGAACCTCAAAAAAGGAGCAACTGGGCAGCCGAGCTGGCGAAATGGGCTCCCACACTGAAGCTCGGGTGGTGTTGAGAACCATGTCCAACATGTCTTCGGTTAGGGGTTAGCATGTCGGTCGCTGTTTCAAGAAGTTCTTTCTCGGATAGATAGATAGACAGCGGTGCCCACCGGAGCTTGCAGAGTCACTTTGAATGGACCAAGAAGCTTTCAAGGTGCGAGTTCCTGGAAGCTGTGCTTCGGGTTCGGACTCTGGGACTTTCTCGTCTACAGGTAGAAGGTGCCTGAACCCGTAACCCTGCCATGCTGCCAAAATAGAGTCCTTACGTCCTCGCCCCTACAACTGTGGGAAATCAAGGCGGTGCTGCATCTACCATGGCCCCAACCGCGTGCTGCCGAAGAACTGCCTGATGCTCGGCCTGGCTCACAAGGGGGGGGGGTCCGGAATAGCAGGCAACTGCCCAATCTCAAAAAGCCTCTATCTCTTGAGCCCAGATGACCCTCACAAGTTGGACTCGGCCTCGCGGCCTTGTGCAGAAAGCGACAGCAAGCGAAAATAAGAAGAGAGACTGAGAGAGAACGAAGAGGCCATTCTTCGATCAACTTGTTTTGTTTGCTCTTCAGCTTAGGGTGGCAAGCAAGTTTCGGAGGCTTCGAGAATTGTTCCAGGGCAGGGGGTAGTAGCAGGCAGAGGCTTCAGGCTTGCGCGGCCCAGACCTCGGAGCTGCCGAGCTCATACTCAAACCTACATCCCAAGTCCTAGTCCTAGGGGAAGAGTCTTTGGATGTAGAAGCCCGGTGAAGGTTCGCTTGCGACCGGTGCAAAGTGGTACTTGTGGGCTTCCCACCCAACTGCTGCCTTTAGGGCTTAAGGCTTCCCACCCACCCAGCATCCCCTTTTGAAGGCTTCAGGGGCATCGGCTTGGTTAGGGTGCAGGGCTGCACGCCCAACATCTCCTTTCATGATTCAGTGCCCTCCCACCATCTACAGCAACTTCTCACCCGGCGTCTCCTTCTACGGTTGAGGCTTTAGGGGTTTAGAGTGCAGGGCTCAAGGGTGTTTGATGTTCACGTGTTCCCTAAGCCTGAGAACCCCGGAGTCTCAAAGCTTTGAAGCTTTAAGATTGGAAGAAAGCGTCTGTACGGCCTCCAGGCCCTCCTTCGCTGCCCACTGCAGCCCCTTAAACGCCTGACTTCGGGAAAGCCTAAATTTGGGTCTGCTGCCATGTTCAGGATTTCCTTAGTCTAGTCATACTTGGAATTCCCAGAAATTTGAGGAGAGATGAGTCCTCCAGCCCCAATGGAGCGGTGGTTGACGTGATCCTCACGACCTATCACCTCGTGCGCCACTGGGTCATGGTGTTTCGACTTTTTCTGCAGTGTTGGTGTGTTGGGTGCAGGCTGGCAGGCATGCAGGTTCTGAACTCAAAGTTCGGACATTTTGAGTAAGGGGTGCAAGTGTGCTTCGTTCTTTTCATGTCGTGCAGACTTCATTGCACTGGGGGATCGACGTGGTCCTGCAGCGTTGGTGCTTTGTCTTGTGGAGAACAGGCATCATAACGGACAAGCCCGCGACTTGCAAGCCCCCAAAACTAAACCAGTTAATATTGGTTTCCAGCGCTTAGGTGACGACCTCCCAGTACTCCTCGAGAAAGCTCACTTTTCTGCGATGGTCTTGGATGAGGCGCAGGCCATCAAGAGCCTCAGCTGTTTCCTGGTCAGGAGTCCTTGTCACGTTCTCCAAGATTCTCCAAGCATTGGGGCTTGTGACAGCTTATGATGATGTCGCAGGAGGAGTTTGCACCTGTCTTTGTTGCTCACAGAACCCTCAGGCATGAAGATGCCGGCTAGAGTGCATGCTGTGTCAAAAGCAGCTTCCCACACTCCATAAAGCGTCGCCCTGCACTTTCAAACCTTGCTTCGTCACCGTAGACCCCCAACAGCTTAGTGGCTTTTGTTTCGTCACAGTGCTCAGACGTTAAATGTCGTAACGGGGCAACAATCAAAACCTTCTGCTTTAATCCTACATCCTGGACACACGCCCACTGGGCCTTCAGCCCCAGGAATCGAGTGAGTCAGATAACTCGGGCTGTCCTGGAGATTGCCTCACACTCCGTGGGCTCTGTGAGAGTCCCGGCGGAAGGTTGGAGTTCGGGTTTGGCGCTTTGTCTCTAGATTCAAAAGAGCCCACTGACCTTTGGAGGCAGTTTGGAGGTTCTGGGACTTCGCGCGAAGGCTTAGAACTTTGCCCGCCCATTTCACTGCCACTTTGGGCTTTGGGTCATGGAGCCTCTTCCAGTGGCTTTTTAAAGGCTGTAAGACAGCTGACCACCTCTAACAGCATCCAAGGGATTGCGCTCACCGGTACGCCTGTGGAGAACCGCTTGTCTGAGCTCCACTCCATCTTCAGCGCCTCGGAAGAAGAAGGGTGTTTGGGGACTGGTTGACACTTGGATTTCGAGTTTTGGAGACATGTTGACATGTTGGAAAAGAGTTAGAATTTTAGGCTTGTCACACAGGCTCACGCTCGGGAAGACTGGTTTGCTGTTTTTTCTGCATCTACTTGCAATTGTTGCCCACAAAAGCGCCGTGGAATAGATCCGACAACGCTTTCTTTGTGTTTTTTCGTCCGCAAATCATAAGCCTTTTTGAGCGTCGACTTCACAGCTAGCACGCTTAATGCCAGCTCGAGGTGCCAGAAGATTTCGAAAATCTGCCCCGGACACCTTGTAACCTCCAAGATCCAGAAGCCGAATGCGTCAAGCAGTCTCAAGCGTTGTCTTGCCTTCACCCACCCCCGAGTCCAGGTTTCATCTTGCCGGGATATCTCGGCTCTGCCCGGGACTTTGAGAAGGCCGGGCCCTTTCTCCTGTCCAGGTTGGGGCCTTAGAGGCATCCGAGAGTTGCAAGGCTTGGGGGCTGAGGTGGCTCGAAGCGCATCGAGCGCATTGCACTTTCTCTTGCTCCTGGGTAGCATAGGATAGGCAAGGCAAGCTCGTGGGACTCGAGGGTTTGGCCTGAGCCCAAGAAGCCTCTGAGACCCTGAGTTCGAGGGTTTGAACTACTGGAGCTCACATGCTTGCCGTGCACATGGAGTCGCTGGACTATGATGAGATCACTATTGCGGGCCGTGCTCGAGTCTTTTCGTTTTGTGCGAAACGCGCCGGCAAGTTTGGGCTATCGCCGGGCTTCGAGATGAGCGGGCTGGATGCTGGAAGTGCTGGAAGCGCTGGAAGTGTTGAGTTGTCACGCACCAATCTGAAGACTCCAGACTGCTGGCAAGCGCAAGACAATGCAAAAGCCACGTTGAGCGGCTTGGTGATGCGCCTTGGGCGTCATCGCTGATGTTGCTGTGGTTGCTGCTGCGATAGGCTCTTAGGTCTTGAGGGTCCGAGTGCTCAAGGCATCTGGGTTTCATTCGGCTTTGGGACTTCTGGGCTCGAGGAGTTCAGGGTTTCATCAGTTCAGCCCTCCTGTCCGACAGCCTTGCAGTAGAACAGGCTGAGCTCAATTATGCCCAAATGGTTTCTTCGAAGAGACTGCAGGGCAAGAGCCCCGAAGGCCCGTAAACCATCGAAAGCCCTTAAGAGCCTTGGAGGCTTGGGCACAAGCTTGGGCTCATGGGCAGACTTTTCATCCCGGGCCCCCAAGTCCCAAGCTTCATGTAGGGTCGAGTTTCCAGCAGCTTGTCTTGGCATGACTCGTGGTCCAGCAGCGTGTCTTTTACTGCGCATGGGGTAGGAAAACATGGAACAACACCGTTAAAGTATGCAGAATACGTGGAACATCTGAGCCAGGAGTTCGGAAAGCCGCTGGAGAAAGATGCAAGTCCGGAGACTGAGTCGCCTCATCCCCGGCTTCAAGTAGATTCACAGCCAGGATTTCAAGATGCCACGTTGATGCTGTTGCAGAGCCACGGTGATGATGTGGACGGATGCTCAGCTAGGTTGTCCTCTCAGTTCTTTGGGGCTTGACAGATTTCAGCAGAGAGCATGTGAAGGAGAGACTGGGGCAATCTTTGATACTTCCCCGGTGGTCAGACCGCCTTTAACCTGAACCCAAGGCCAAAGCCGCCGAACAGTTTTGTCATGCCATGGAGCCGACTTGTTTAGGGTTTGCTTGGTTTGCTTTCCGAGATTCTGAGGCTGCTTCAAGGCCCCGTCTCTGACCATGTAAAGCCTTGCACCCACAAGCCCTGAAAAGCCTCCTCCTGAAACCGCAGCAGCATCTTGAGGCTGTTCCCTAAGTCCCTTAACGATGCAGCCTCTTCCTTACAAGATGTGTGTCTGTTTTCCGTAGGGAGCTCCCGGCCCCAGAGGCCCCGAGGAACTCTGTGGGGTTTGGATTTCGGATGTCCGCGTCAAGGCTGCGCTCTGCTCTCCGGAGCCGTCTGCTCACCGCCATCCGGCCTTTTGCGCCTCAACCTGGGGCCAGGGCTCTTTGCAAGTGTGAAGGGGCCGTAGGCCGGCAGAGAGCGGCAGGGTTTCATCTGTTGTTTACTGGGTTTTTAGAGACTTGGGTTCAGGGCTGTTAAAAAGAGGGCAGGAATTGCGGATCTGAGTTGAGATGGGATTTGAGTTTGGGACGCTGGGACCGACAGAGCTGGGGGTTCAGAGGTTGGGAGCCTAGGGCTTTACAGCTTGAGGCTTGGTGGTTATCCTGCTTGTGAGCACTGGAGACCTGGCCTTTTGGCTCACCTTGCTAAGCGGGGTTTGGCAGCTCGCTGTCTAAGATCAACTCAATGGGCTGCCCATATGAAGCCCATCTTGAAAAGCTCCAAAACGAGGTGCTGCGGCGGTGCAAGAGCGACGAGGTTTGCACGAGTGCTTTGATGCGCTCTCTGCAGGGTCTTGGAAGTTTGGGGCTCCAGTCGGCTCAGAGCAGTGCAGTGCAGAGTGCAGCGCAGCAAGGCTCGGAACCCCTTAGCCTTAGCCCCGGGGCCCAAAACCTCGCAAACTCTGTCTTACAATGCTTCAGAGCTTGGAGGCCGTGGCTTCAGACCTGCCACCCAAGATCGAGCTGGCCGGGATGACAAGGGCCAATTTCTGGTTGGACGGGCTGGTTGCAGGTTGCACACAGAAGCCAAACGGTGTAATAGTATTCTCTTATCGTCCCTATATAATTATACTAATTATACTCGAATAGTCCTCAAAGCCCTATTCTAATTATTCAGGCCCCTGTATTAGTTATGTCAATTTGACTCGGGTGCGAAAACAGGCAGCTTTGGGTTCACCAAGTTCCCCGGGCTGATTCTTTGGGCCGCTCTGAGGAGAGCTTCGGGTTCTTCTTGTCCTCGAACTGCAAGAAGCTGTAGATGCCACTCTTTTGAATGCTTTGATCCTAAGCTGCACTGCACTGAACCCTAATTTCCTTGAAAAGGTCAAGGTCAAGAAGCCTTCAGGAGACAAAACAACAAAACGTGCCTGGCATTGTCGGGGATAGCCACAAAGCGACAAGGGGGCACCGATGTCTTTCCTAAGCCCCCTGAACGACAAACTTGCGCTTCGCGAACAATAAGAATCCGAGCTTTACCTGGCAAAGGCTAGATTCTCTGGATGCGGTTCTCGTTGGTGAACAAGTCAAGTCCTACGCACAGCGACATCTGCGGCTAGCGTTTCCACGCAATTATCAAGAATCACGAGAAATCCCAGACCCCAATTGCTTTCAGAAAACTCTTTCTCCTTGCCAGCTGCACACTGTCATGCTCACCGGTGGCCAGCGCAGGCTTTACGAGGCGTAGGGGGTCTTGGGCCGCGGGGGGGGGGGGGGGGGGTGGCAAAGTGTAGGGAGCCCTTCTTCCCGCAAACCCCTAGCATTTGTTGTTTCCCTGGGCCATTGTCAGCCAAGTACCTCCAAGCAGCAACCCCCTGACCCTGCCGAAGCCCCATCAGATCGTTTAGGGTTTAGTTTAAGTTAGTGAAACCCAAAGACTCCAAACCCTGTATTCCAAACACTGGCTGGCCCACTGTTCGCAGCAGCATAGACTAGTGTCCATGCACAAGCATTTATTTGAGTCGTATTGGTACTACTCGAACTTAAGCGTGCGAGCTTCGAAAGAGTGCACCGTTATTCGAAGCAGCAACAGGCATGATGGTTTGCTAAATATTGTCGATCTACCGTGTGCGATGCATAGCGTGTAGTTCAACCCATTTTTCCAAGTCATTCACGAGCACTAATGCAACGGCAGAAAGCTCAAAAAAAAGGCAGTCGCGCGCCGTATGTGGCTCATGTCTAAAGCGCATTTTCAAGCAGAGGCGGTGCAGAAGCAGGAGCTTGACCGAGTTCTTGGAGCAGCCGAGGCTTGGGAGGGTTTCGGGGTGGCTCTCTACAGCTGCGGTGCAGCGCTTGGCGTTAGGGGTTTAAAGTAGCTCCGCTGGTGAGCTGTTTCTTTGACACGTTTTGCAAGTACGGAAGGTAATTCCAATGCCTACTGAGGCTCTCTTAGACTTAGCGAAAGCTGCAACAATGAGAGTCTGCTTGCTACACATCGTCAAAGCCTGCGTTGCTCAGGAGAGGTTACGCCTAGAGCAGCTGGGCGGTGACACGGCAGAGGAGCCCGGGAACGAGCATTGAAACATCAGGCTTATAGGCATCAAAAAGCAACGAAAGGAACAAATCAAGACAAAGACAAAGCACTGCAACAAACAAGTAAACAAACACATTATGCCAGCGTAGACCCCAAACAGTGGGAGACCATGTGAGCCCCCAAGTTCAGAAGTAACGACGGCTTCGTTTCGGCAGCACAAACGTCTAAAAGCGGAGACAGTTTCGAGGACCGCTTTGCTTGAAAGCGAAGAGCCCAAGCTGACGGCCATTTGAAGAATTATTGCTGAATGAACTTTAAGCCTCAATGGGGACCTCGGCACTGTTGACCGCAGTAATGAACCGCTATCTGGAGAACATGCGAAAATGACTGCCCAACATGTGATTCTTGGCTGCCTGATTATTCTAGCCGTCGGCCCCCAAAGACAACCTAGGGCAGGCCCTGGTTCAGCCTCAAGCTGCGGTGCCCTCGACCTGGAACAAAACTTTGCATGGCTGGGGGGGATTGGATCAGGGGAGCCAGATTTAACCCGCCGGTCTTCAAGCCTGCAAAAACCGTTTGTGTCAGCGAACAAGCGCCGCGATAAATTCTCAAGTTCCAGCTGCCAAAAGCAGGAAGGAGCGGCTGCAGTCAGCACCTGAGAGGGTATGGGTATGGGCCCAGACACCCTATGTTTCCAAAGGCCAGGCCGACGTTTCTCTGACTCGCCTCGCAAACTCCTTGATGATAATGTTGAAGTACCCAGTCGGCACAAAACCCTTTGAGAGCCCCAAATGCCATAGGCTGCCCAGAACCAGCTTCGCAGCTACAACTCTACAAGTCTGATGTCCTAACAGTCACAAAGCTCCGAAACCCAACTACTGCGCCTCCAAAATCTTACTTGCCCAGGCCAGTGGCGCGGACCTGCTCTCGGCATCCGTGCGTGCGAAGGAGGCAACAAAATAGGGCCAAGGTTTAAGGCTTCTGGGTTATACTCAGTTTGAAGGTTTCGGGATGTTTCGGTTTAAGGCATCAGTAAGCGGACATTGCAGTAAGCGTGTGCGGGGGGGGGGGGGGGGGGGGTTGGGGACTGCGAACAGATCTTGCCACAAATGCAAAGTCTGGATGGTGTTGCACCTTGTAGGCGCAAGAAGGGCCCAAAGGGTGTTGGTGGCACCCCGGGCACAATAGGGTTGAGGAGAGGTGCGGGGCGGGAAGGCTCAAAAGGGGGTGGCGAGCAGGTGTTTAGTGTTGGGGAGGAGGATTTGGTGTTGGGTTGCTTGGGTTGCTGAGATGTTGCAAGTACTCGTGCGTGCCAGGCCTGGAGTCTGGAGTGGGGGGGGGGGGGGGCAAAGGGGCAAGGGGGGAAAGTGCCGCCTGCCCCATTTCCGCTAACATGCCACAGACTTCAAATGGAAGTCTGGATCGTGACGCCTTGACTGAGGCAGACGTGCATCTATGGGGAGAGGGGTCGCGGCGCAAGTGGTGCAAGTGAAGCAAGTGGAGCACTTGCGCCTACTGATGCTGCCGCCAAGTGAAACAAGTGGGGTGAAAAGAAGAAGCTCTTCCCGAAGATAAAGAGGGCGCATTCAGTCGCAAGAGCAGCGGCGCAGCAACATGTCAGCCGGAAAGGTGTTCTGCAGGTTTTACAACGCTGGGCCCGGCCCTGAATTTCGATCCAACTCTGAACCCTACAGATCGGCCCTTCGAAACAAAGCTTCCTTGGCTAGACAGGTGTTGAGCACGCTGCATGCGCTGCAGCAGATCTGCAACCATCCGCAAGCGCTGGGAAGCAAGCACTGGCGCCTTGTCCGCACAGTTCATACTACTGGAGTCTGTAGGGTTCCGGGGTGTGGGGCAGCAGGCCTGCCCGGAACGCAATGTCCGTCGTGCTCGTAAGCTTGTAAGCATGCCCAGAATGGGTGAGTGCTGAACCCTCGTAGGCCCGGTCCGAAAGGCGGCCTGGGCACTTCAAAGGTGTGAAAAGATGATTCAAAAGGCGTCAAAAAGGTACTGGCAGGTTGGAGGCGGTACAGCTGTCATAGCCTTCGGCATAGCGGAATTCAGCCCAAGACCTCTACATCGACTGACTGTAGTTGCCATCCTGAAAAGTGGCGCCCAAAAGTTGCCTGCCGAACACCCTCTTTGGCCCTGAGAGGCCTGCAGAGCTCATCCGGCAGGCGCCGGAGTTCAACAAAAGCGCCGAGAGCCTCGGCCCGCTGCAGTGTGCGTTGGGGGTGCTGCTTTGCAGGGTGCTGCTTTGCAGGGAGCTTAGAGGGGTTAAACGTCGGCCCTTTAGGCCTGTTTAGCCTCCTCTAGAGTTCAGGCTTGTTTTGTCTTTGGCACTTGGGCATAGCATCAAGCTTCATGAGACAGCCATATACTAAGTCCCTAAGCCGCCTAAGCCCGTGAACCTTCTCTCTCCCAGGAACAGTGGCAAGATGGCGAGGCTGCTCGCACTGCTCGAAGAGGCAGGAAAGGTGTTTCGGTTTCGAGGGCTGGGACTACGGAGGCTGATTGAGGATTTGTGCTGGTGCCTTGTGCTCTTCCAGGACTGAAGCTTTCGTGTCAGTCTGCAGCTAGAAGCCGGCCGATTTGTCAACTGCAGGCCTACAGGTGTTAGGATGTGTGGAGTCCTCAGCAGGAGACCTGAAGGGTTCTGGCCCGGCCTTGAACCTTTGCAGGTGCTGTCGCCTAGAGATGGCCGGGAAGGCCTGGCATCCCAGTTCTCGTGGTGTTCCGTTGTGTTGAGACCTGGAGTCTGGAGAAGTTTGGGAAGCCACAAGCCCAGACGCTTCCCGCTTGCAACTTTGTATAGAGGACATTGGATCACGCACAGGGCCACTTCGCCACTGGTGCCAGGCATGTTTAAGTGGGTTAGCACCCCACAGACGAAAAAAAGGAACGTGGCAAGCTTTGAGAAGCTGAAGCCAGCACTTGAAGTCCCCCGCATCAGGTGAGAAGGTCCTCATCTTCAGTCAGTATGCGCAATCCCCGGCATCAGCTCAAGCCTGACTTCAGCTTGTTTATGGTTGTTTAGGGCTTAGGGTTTAGGGTTTAGGGTTACGTGGGCTGGTCCAGGGGAAGAGGGCTGAAGCAATCTTGCAAGGCCTTGCAGTTGTAGGCCTTCGAATTTAGGACTCAGCATCTTGCAAGGCCTTGGAGCTACGAAATTCGGAGGTAGGGGTACCTTGGAGCTGGGATTGCGCAGTCATGCAGGGGGTTGAATACCTTGCGTTGGCATTAGGGTTTCTGGTTTGGGGATAAAGCATCTTACAAAGCCTTGGAGCTAGGATGTCGGAAGTAAGGTTGAACAATCTTGAAAGGCCTTGCAGCTGGGAGTTCGAGTTTAGGATTCATCATTTTGGAGCTGGGGATGAGGATCTTTCGTTTCGGGCTTTGGGTTAAATATCTTGCAAATTGACATTTCGGCTTAGGGTTAAATTATTTAAATTGAAAGTCTTGCCAGGCTTTGGAGCTCTGATTGATTTAGGAGTTTGGATTAAACATGTAAGCTGGAAGCTTCGGGCTTGGGATTACGGACACACAGCCTTGGAGCAAGGGTTTCGGAATTGGGGCTCAAATTCTTGTAAGGCCTGAGGACTTTGAGCTTCCGAGTTACTATCTTGCAAGGCCTTGGAGCTAGAGATTCAGGGTTGGGTTGAAAATTCTTGCAGGGCCTTGGAATGGGGCTTCGGTTTTAGGGCTAAAATCTTGCAAAGCCTTGGCATCGGGGTTTCGGTCTTGTGGATAACAGTTGGCAGATTTCAGCGACATCTTGCGAGGTTTCGGAGCTCGGATTTAGCTCAACAAGCTTCCTAAACTCCCAACTATTGCCAACTTGATCGACCTTTTGCACTTCCCGAACTCATCCTTTTGTGAATAGGGCGGCTTAGGGCAGGGAGGGAAGTGGGCATCACTGGCTTGCATAGGGCGGCTGTCGGCTTGAACACGGGGGGAGAGGAGGCGCTGGCAGGTGTTGACGCAACTTTGGGCCGAGCGGGTGCGCTGGGTCGGGAGCCAGGAGCTAAAGCTCACATCCAACCTTGGGCCAGCTTCAAGCTCTGCTGAACCCAAAGCTTGAAAGCTTGATCCGATCCCCCCCCGTAAAAAGCCGTGAAGAAAGCTCACCTCTGCTGCCTGAACTGGGAGTCTAGATGTGATTCGATGGGTTTCCGGCAGGCATCAGGGGCGTCAGGATCCACTAGGGTTCCAGGTTGTGAGCGTTTTTGAATCAAGTTCTTTGAGATCTATCTGAAGTCATCTTGGTTGCCTACTAATTGAAGTCAGTTGAAATTCGACAGGTGCACACGGTGCAGCTCTTGCAGTGGAGTATCGAGAAGGCCTTTCCCATGATCAAGGCTCGAGAGGGCTCTTTGCAGTGGAGACCAAAAGATGGGGAAACTGCAGAGTCCTCCAAGGGTTTGGAAAACAAAGAACGGATCATATGGACCTGAAATAATTTGTTTTTACGTGTGGCTCAATGGAATAGCTTGGCTTTTGCTCGCGGAGCGTCAAGTCTTGAGCTTCAGATTCAGTGCATGTGCTGAATTCCCACCAGCCAAAGGGTTGGGTTTCCATCTCTAGAGGGGGGGGGTGACTCCGCAGCCCAAACCGGAACGGGTAAGAGGAGCCAGAAGGGAGAGGCACCGAACCGGACTGTGCCGGAACGGAACGGAACGCTGGAACCGGAATGTCGGAACGCAACGGAACGCCGGAGCATTTCTTTGTTGGTCCTTGGTCGTCTTGTTCTTGCAGCCTGTTGGGGTTGCACAGCTGGCTTCCCTAAGCTAAGCCCTGTAATGAACCCTGAGTTCAGAGAGCTCTCGAAGCTACGACCTCACGACCCCCCTGCTCGAGGGCACGCTGATGGAATCACGTCGGATTGAGAAGTGGTCAGGCTTCAGGCACCCAACCTCAAACTACCCCCGTCAGTGCTTCCAGACAGGGTAGCTGCACACCCAAATCGAAAAACCCTCCGCCGTTTTTCCAAACTGATTGGCCAGGCCTTGACGATCCACGGCGGCCTTGGCATAAGTGAGCGAGAGGCGGGGTGAAGGGCATTTGAAGCCCTTCTTTGCATTGCTTTGCCTTGCAATGCATTGCATTGCATTGCATTGCTGGTTTCCAGCATTGCAGGCTTCTGGCATGCCTGTCCTAGACGGGTGAAAGGGGTGCTTGGGCATGAAAAGCCTAAAACGTCCTCGAGATAGCCTTAGGCTCTTGGAGTTGGGGCGGGGGCGTTGAGAACCGAGTTCATGCCCCGTTGACGGACACTTTAAGGAGCCTTAAGCCCTGACACGTTGCTATTTGCCCGTGTGGTTTTCTTGAAAATTTCCGGTCTGGAGAGAGTGTTCTTCTGTTGAGGGGCGGGGAGGGGGGGGGGGGAGGGGGGGGGGATTGGTTACGACCATTTGACTCTAACCATCCCCAAACCCTGCTATTTACGGCGTTTTTGCCTCTTTGTGCAACATGTTGCTGGAGGATGTTTGATGTTCAGCAAAACGGGCGCTGTCACACGTGTTCATGCCGTTTTGCGAACATGCCCAAAACCCTGCTATTTGCGGCGCTTTTGCCTCTTTGTACAACATGTTGCTGGAGGATGTTTGATGTTCAGCCACACAAGGCACTGTCATAAGCGTTCATGCCATTTTGCGAACATGACCAAAACCCTGCCATTTGCGGCATTTTTGCCTCTTTTATACAATGTGCGTCTCATCGAACACAACTACAGCTGGGTCTGGCGCTGGCAATTGGTCCCCAAGCGAACATCCTGGATCGCTTGGGGAAGGTGTGCTAAAATGAGTGCCCTAAGTTTGAGTTCCTGGATTTCCTAAAGCACGAATCCCTCAATTTCCACAGCCACACGCACGAAGTCCTGTAATTTACAGCGCTTTCCGTGTATGCCCTAAAACGTACAGGCCCGCCACCACACGGTCAGATATCAACGGGTGACCCCTTAAGTGAGCCCTTCGAGAGCATGTTTAGGAGAGGAGCCCATAAGCTCACCACAAGGTACTCGTACGTGAAGTCAATATAGGAATGTAGGCCCGAACGCATACACGGCATACACTTACAGCTTACATCAAGAGCAGCAGAAGGACCTGTCACGTGTGAGCCGAATCTGCAGCACCAGAACCACAGAAGCTCAGAATGTTCGGACATGTCATTCGGGTTCTTTGGGCTGTTCAAGAAAACCCCGATGTCTTTGAGACCAACTGAGTGTAAGCGCGGCAGGAGCAGATCCAGCGCTTCAGAGTTGACCCCAGGCGCGAGAAAGAGACCCAGAGATGGAGTACAGTTTCAACGGCACGTCTGCTCTGAATCAGACTTCCTACGAACTGCAAAAGTTGGGTTGCGGCCACGGTTGTATTTCTTAAGCTCAGATGCCATGCGTCAGAGGCTTTCATACTAAGACGCTAAACCCTGATGTGCCATCAAAACCCCTGTCAAACCCAGCCGAGCCCCGGGCTCTGGTATTGCGTTTAGAGCTTGAAGTTTGTTCCGTCATACCCTGAAACCAGAAAGCCGAAACCTGATATCAGGTGTTCTGTGCTGATCATGACCTTGGGTACGGGCGGTGTCGGCCTCAACCTCGCTGCTGCCTCCCACGTGGCTCGGCCGACGTAAACAGTCACAGTTTGGCTATGAGGAGCTCAGTTTGTCAGAATTGGTTTAAAGCCTTCACGTGTTTAGAGTTGGGGATTCATCCTTGAAGTTCAATGATGCTTGTAGCCTCTCGGATGTACCTCCAAAAGATGTGTAGGCGCCTGAAGCGTGAGAATGAGCACCCAAAAAGTCTCGGACTTTGCAGCGCTCCGCCAAAGCCGGTGCTCGCGCGTGCTTTTGGAGAGCCTCTCGGTAGGTCGTCCACTACGATCGCTGCTGGAACCCGGCCCGGGAAGCGCAGGCAGGGTCTCTTCGGACGTGTCCAAGTGTCGAAGACTTCCTGCATTGTGCGGCAGCTTGTATACTGCCTAGATGGTGGAGCTCATCCAGTGTTGGCCTAGTGCCCTACAGAGTCACCTACAGAGTTACCTACAGAGGCATTTACAGAGTCCTACTAGTAGCCCTTTGCCGTCGAAATCATGGGTTCAGGCCACCGACCGTGCACATCGCCGGGCGCTCATACACTTCACTCTTATGACTTTTTGAGTTTTATAGGAATCAGGTTGTAGTATTGTCCCTGAGTATGCAGGCAGCCCAGGCTGTAGGATCCCCCTGACCTGTAACCCGATAAGCCTTATGCGCAAATCCCGCTCGTAACCCATGATGCTTATAGACTTTGGGAACTCATTTGCTTTGTTTCGAGAAGTGGCTCTTGAGCACCATCAGTCGCAACTGCTGATTCACCTCGCGCAAAAAGAGAACAAGTAATTGGTATCGATCCCTAGGCAAAAGAAGCAAAGAGGGGACCAAGTGGAACTCTTGCTGAATAGGAAGCAGCGCAGCAAGGCAAGGGACAGAAGTTCGGTTGCTCGATGGGGTCGGGCTCACCGGTAAATTTGAATCCACATGTGGCAAGTGAGAGCACTGTTCACGGTGTCAGCTTCTCGGACAGTAAGAAGACTCGGCCTACTTTGTTTGTCAGCCTTAACTTGTTGGAGCACCTTGCGCAACTGCTGGAAGTCATCTTGGGACCATTTTCCGTCAAATCTTGATACGTCGAACACTGTCTAACTGCAGGGTTAAGTTTTTTCAGCAGAAGCACCGAGCCTTTCCAGAACGGAACATGGCTGAAACAGAACAAGAGCAAAGTCAACACAACCGCCAAGAGCCTCCGATACCAGAGTAGGCATCTTGGTGCAGAGCTTTGCATTTGTCTCAGCTGAGCTATGGCAAAAAAAGCCCTCTGAGCCCCTGTACAAATTACATGCTACTACGCCGCTTGAAACCTATAAGCAAGCCGTGCATGGCCAACTGCTCAAGCTTCAATCCGCAACATCAAGCCACCTCAATGTTGAAGAGCGAACCCCAAGGCCCCTACCGATCGGATTTAAGGAATTCGGGCACTGGCTGGGACAGCCCTAGATCGGAAACCGCCAGCGTTTCCGATGTCACAGCCAGGTCCCACAGAGAGGTGGGGCTTCTTTCGAGTCTGAGTCAAGCACTGGAGTCTGTGAGGCATCGGTCAGTTGCGGACGGTGGTGGTACACCGTCTGGTGACCCAAGGGACGCTGGAGGCACACCGCTGTTTGGTCGAAGAAGGGGTTCTTTGGTTTCCAGGTCTGAGTGGTAGCGGCGAGTCGGCTCTTCCTTAAGTGGTCCGTGTTCCCAAAGTCGATGCGTCATGCACTTCGCTTTTCAGTAACAGAGAGTGGAGCCGACAAGTTTGGTTTTCATGCTTCGGTTCGTTTTGGTGGATGGTGTTTCTTTATTCGACAATCTCAAGAGATGTGGGCAGCCGGGGCAACTTCACCACATCATGTTTTTGCAGTCTGAAGTGCCGTGGAGGTTCAATCAATCTGTACCTACATGATGCAGGTACTCAACAAATAGACTGGGTAGTAAGAAGTGCAGGTTCTCGACGAGGACCTAGTCGAGACTTGAACAGCAGAGAATCGGATGCCCTTAAGTGTCCCAGCTAGCACAAGCGCGGCACAGCCTCAACGCCTCAATTCGCTGAATTCCCACACCCCCAGGGTCCTCAGAATCTTAGAGGGGTTGGCAAGACTGCATGGTGAGTTTAGGGTTTTTGCCGGCGGCTTCTTCACGCCCAGTCCAGGAACGTCTGGCACAGGAGCTCCGACGCAAAGCGCAGCTCGCGCATGAGGCTTGTGTGCACGTGGTACTAGTATGTACTAGTCTGGGCACAGCAAGTCGCCCCCCGAACCATGTCCAACAACTCTTGGGCCCGAGGGCCTTAGCGGCCTTAGCGTATAGTTTGAGGGGCGTATGCCCTATATGGCTTCTACTGTTACTCTACACCCAAACCCCTTTACCATACCGGGAACCAGCCCAGTCACTTCGGCAGCACTGCTGTGTTGGCGTTTGTCGAGGCGAAGAACACTTCAGGGCATCAGGGCTTGGGATTTGGGGCTTCATTGAACCGGAGCGCTTAACGACAGAGTAGATACTCATCCTCCCTGAAGGTGATACCGTCTGATGCCACCCCGACGGATATAACCACCTTCTCAGTGCAGGACAGGCTTTCAGTGTGTCTGCTGGTTGTTCCAGCGGCTTCCCCCAAGTAACGTTCAAGACCCTGAAGCCCCACCCCCCCCCCCTCCCCACCAGGCCATTTCGGGTGTGGGACACAGCTCTCCGTCTGGTCAGTGTGGACAGTCCTGGGCGCGACTTATGCAGACGTACGATAACTGGGCTCACAGGTGATTCCGGCCTGAAACTCGGTGCGTCTGGGTGGACAATGCGAGTTAAAGGGGGGGGGGGGGGGGAAGCAATTGCACCTGTTGGCAAATCTGGATTCGGTTCTGCCCGGCGAAGCCAACTCTGCCCACTTGCTGTTTGGACTAGGGTCCTGTGCAACAGTTTTCGATGACCTGGCCGTGGCTGTTGAGCTTTTGCCTTAGGGTTCGGCATCTTGGGTTCTGGACCTGAAGCCCTCAAGACCAAGTTCGACCATTTGGTCTCCACCTCCAAGTCGAAGAGGCTTAGTTGATGTGTGTGCGTGGTTTGGAGGACCAGCCTGAACTTCTCCAAAACAAACCGCCGCTGCATGCAATTTGCGAAGTTGTTTCAAAACCTGGAAGTGAAAGCACCGAAGCAATCAGACCAAAACCAAACAAACTCCGAAGTGCTGAAAAGGAACCATTGGACCGTTTGTGTAGGAGCTCATGGATTTGCTGAAGATGGGACCCGGTGATTCGGAGGCAAGGGCTTTGGTGGTTGGATGGCTTCGGGAAGTGCAGGGCTTGTTTGCTGGTCGATCGAGTGTTTTTGAAATTTTCCTGGAGCTCTAAAGGAAGCGCGGAAAACTCCTTGAATAAGTCTCCCACGGTGGCAAAGTTGCAGGGGTATTCGGCACGTTCAAGCTTAAGTGGCAAGGATGCATGGGGTGGCTCGTGCTGCCAGTACCATGTAGTACAGTCCTTTGGGCAAAGTACGGGAAGGCCCGAGGAGGCAAAAAATCTGGAAGCCTTGTTCACCGAGTTTGGGTTCGTCACCCAAGCGCCCCTGTTGGGCAGCGGCACTGGTAGCCACTGGTAGGCGCACCAGTCCATGGAGGCGATGCTTAGAATGCTTCGCGAAGGGCAGTTTGGCAGTTTGCAGGGGAGGGCTAATACATGACTCTGAGCCTCTGAGCGCTACTCTTGCGACGGAGCAATGGATGCAAAACTGAGAGTTCCTCGCCAACCAAATGGGCTTTTCCGCGGTGCCTCGCTGTTTGCAGCAGGGGGCGTTTCTCCTTGAACTTTGGGGCCGTCTGTATGTAATACACAAATCGATGGCTAAAGCCCCGAATCGAGCAACAGAAAAAGATGGGGTGCATCCTAGGCTTTCGTCTGCATCTGTTGCTAATGGTTCATTGTTGCAAGAATTGCTTCGAATCCAGTCTGTTTGGCGCCTCTTGATTTGCGAAGGGGCCTTTGGCCCCTATCCTGCAAACCCCAAGCTCTGCTGACATGCCACGCCAGCACGCATCCTCAAGCCTTAAGCCGTCATGCTCCAAAGCCTCAAAGCCTAAAAGCAGACGCCTGCGCCCGAATCCTGACGAGCACAAGGTCAAGGCAACCGGGAGTCCACAGGTGAGGTCACGTGAAAAGTACCTGCAGAGGGAGTCCACAGGTGAGGTCACGTGAAAAGTACCTGCAGATTGCATCATTAGATGCCAGCGTAGATCTTCGTTTTTGCCCTAAGATGAGACAACCAGGCCCTCTGAAATCCAATGGCAGGCACTGTCAACACCAAGCTTGATCCAAAGCACGCGCATGCACGGACAGAGATGCTCAGACAAGTGTTTTCCCTCAGATAAGTGCTTTGCCCTGGGAGAACCCCATGTCAAGAATCTTCGGACTTGAATCCTTGACCTTCTGGGGCTTGTGTGCTTGCGCACCACAGCAATCTTTTGTTAGGTGTAGGTGTAGGTGTAGGCGTAGGCGTAGGCGTAGGCGTAGGCGCAGGCGCAGGCGTAGGCGTAGGCGTAGGTGTAGGTGTGTGTCTGTTTTGCCCCAACAGCCTACAAGAATGCCTATTTTATGCGGTTCTTCACAGTGAGTCGGGAGATGTCTGTTCGAGCAGGAACCGCAAAGACTCGATATCTTGTTTCGTTAAGCAAAGGCGTTATCTTATGTGCTTTCGTTGTAGTTTCTTCGAAAAATGTGTTTGTTTTGATCGTAAGGCCGCAAAGAGCGTGCTCATGAGCTGCTCGTAGGGAGTAGGGAGATATCCGTTCGACTAATATCCGCGAAGATCCGAAAATGTCAAAGCTGTTTGTAAAAGAAAGTGTCCGCACGCGAAACTTGGATCGTTGGTATCCGGGAGATCTACTGAGTCTACTGCCTCGAGCTTTTGGTGTTTTTCTGAGAAGACATGCTTCCTGGAAGTCTGAGAACTGCAGGGGCCTGGAGTCGAAACTGCCCTAAAAAGCCCTAGAAAGCCCTGAAAGCCAGCAACCCCCAAACCCCGATTCCTGCAGTGGAAATGAGCCCGCCAGAAGATCCCATGAAGAGGCTCTATAATCTCTAAACCAACAGAAAGCTCTGACACCAAGTGCGACTCTGTTGGTCAAGGCGGCTCCGAGCAACCGTGCCGACAGGGAGTTGCGATGACAGCGCTGGAAGCCCGCCTGCAAAGGGTTCGGTCAGTGGGTGCTTTGGGCTTTTGACCTGCCGAACGAAGCCCAGGGAGCAGCACAGAGGGCCCCAGGGTTTAACTGACTTCAAACCGCACGAAATCTCAGGGAGGGAGAGAGAGAGCGCGGGAAAGAAAGTTGTCGCAGCATGAGGACCACTTGTGGGGTTGGACAGGTCAGGTGGCGTTAGATCTTGTTTCACTGATGACCTTAGTAAGCATGGGCTACGATATACCTCTCAGATCAGCCTCCCTAACTAGGGCTTGCGTGCCTAGAAGTTTGTCTGTGAGCAGTTTACATACAACCGATTGTGTGAGGGAGTTAACAGGCGTTTGGAGTCAGGCTTTGAGGGTTTAGTATTGGATGATGTTCCTGTGAGGCTCTCAAGGCCTGTGTGGGTGTGTAGTGTTTGTGCCTGAAGATGTTCACAACGTTCACACATGCTGAAGCTTTAGGACATGGATGTTTGCATTTGGGTGTTGGCTGAGGAAAAGTTCGCTTTTCCAGTGCCTGAAGTAGGACAGGAGCCCTAGCAAGCAGGTCAATCCAGATTGATCGTGATGAAGTTTCTTTCTGTCCCTGTTTCAGGCATCGATGGCATCAAGCCCTTCAAGCCCTTCCGCCCTTCCACGTCCAAGTTCCAGACTTGTCGGAACCAGCAGAAGGTTCCGACGAAACCGACTCGCGCACTTGTCAGTGCGCTGCCGGGACGGCTGAGTGCCAGGCGGCAAAGTGCCCCAAAGCTTAGTTGTCCTGCTAGTCGTAGTTTGTTGCAGGCGGCTCTGAAGATTTGAAGATGCGTGTTAAGATTGACATGTCAGGATGCCGTTGATGACCATTGTCATTCGACCAACTCTTTTCAACAAAGGTGAACTTGGAATCTTATAAATTCTGAACTCTGCATGGTCGTACTTCTTCCTCTTCAGGCTCTATCTTGAGCGGGGTCAGGGGAGACCATGAGGAACATCCAAATCTTTCTTTTTTCTCCGCAACTAGGGTCGTGCAACCCTTCTTGGCAGATCATGGACGCGGGCCGTGTAAGCCAATCCTCGTAGAAAAGGGTGCTGTTCAATATGCAGCCCCGATTGCTCTGAAGTTCTAGCCCGGCTCGTTCGGCGATGCGCCCAAGCCGGAGATGTCGATTTCACGCAGGAAAAAGGGGTGCAAATTCGGGAGATTGATGTGGTGTTCCATTCCGTGCCACGCCCAAAGGACCGACATTGCTAGATGGAGACTTCGTGTACTTAGAACGAAGATAGGTCCAGCATGGTACAGCCTTGCCTAGCCAATTCTCTGCCAGCTGTGCAGGGGCCATACATCAGAGGAAGCCGATGCGTTTTCCACGGGCGCCTCAAAGCCTATCATCACGTTACGCCCACGTTAGCAGCAGTTAGCCCTCTACAATTGGGGATAATGACTCCATTAGGGGCCCGACAGCCCAAGACACGGTGTGCTGGCTTTTGTCTTTTTGGTGTTGAAGTTCAGTGCTTCTAGCCCTGCAGGCTTGGTCGTAAGTGTACACGTGCGAGGCTTCCGGTGTCGTTTTTGTCGGCCTTCAGCGGAATGCAGAGGTTCGCCAAGCTAAACCACAGGACTCCTTTTCACAGCCTCGCGCCGGTCCCCAAGGCCTCCAAGGCCCCCAAGGCTGTGTTCAGGTTCGGATTACCTTCTTGGTCGTGAAGCTTGAGCGATTCCAGAAGCCTTGCAAGGGAGGCTCTGGAGTTGTAGCCTTGCAGCTTGGGAGTAGACCCTCTGAAGCTCCAAACTCTAGTTCTCAAGCCTTCAAAAGTTGCGACCTGCCGCGGCTCCCCAAGTCTCCCAGATTCGTGATTGCGGCCCCGTTGAGGGAGGGTGTTCAAAACCCTGCCGGCCTTATACCCAACTCAATCCAGCTTGAAGACACAAGAGCCGCGCAACTTTGCATGCAAGCGGTCCAAAAGACTATAAGCCTTAAGCCTGCTAAAACACCTCCATACCCAGAGCCCTCAATGTCCGAAGCCCTATCGATTGCCATAGCCTTAGCCCATTCGAGTCCCCGTAAGGCCCCTGTTGAATGCTGCGTCCCAGCATGGATCCGGCGACGGCATGGCACCTGAATCCAGGACCTCGGGTTCGAAGGTCGAACTTCTAGGGTTAGGGCATGCGAATATTTGAGAAGGGACTTGGTCTAGTGTTGGCAGATACAGGTCTTTGTTTCAGCGCAGAATGGTCTTCAAACGCCAAAGCCTAGCCTTCCGAAGTGCATCCACAACACTTCAACACCCCAGCATCTGCTCAGCTTGAGGTAGCATTGGATGTGGGTTACCGCAACTCTCCCCGCTTGATGATGCTGATTCACCTGCCATCATGCGACCGCAACATATTCCACGGAGTAACATCGAACTCGATGCCCCTGTACAGACTTTAGGACCCATGGATCTCATGGTGTAGGGGCTTCATAGGGTTGCACAGGACATCAGGCACCGGGTTTGGACAGTTTGGACAGTCTCAGTGCCCTTTGCCCCTGAGATTGAGGAAGAAGACTAGAAGTAGACCAAGTGAGAGTCAGAGCTTTGAGGGAGACTTTACACTACTTTCGCTGTACTTTCGGGGGGTTTCCTGAGGAGCGCATGCAGCAAAAAGTGCGGGGAGTCACTTTAGCTGAGAACCATTTGGAAGAAGACATTTGCAATCTGCTTTGACATGTGGCCTCAGGCAGTTCTTTCACCTCCGCAGCAGTCCTTACTGACCAATGCTGTGTTTACTTGTTTGTTTATCTTTTCCGGGCTTGCCCATGTCTCTTTCAGAGTCATCAAGCGAAGCCCCCAAAACCTTGGTGAACAACCAGGAGGATGAAACTGCTGGAATGCTGCAGCCACATGATGTTCTTCAGATCCAGCCGGGCTCTAACGAGGACACGACAGAGTTTGGGATTTGGATCTTGGTGCTTATGAAGCTCTGAAATCCTAAGCCCTGAATCCTGAGCTGTTAAACTCTAGGCTGCTTTTGACTTGGAGCTTGCTGCATTCGGGGTATAGAAGTTCAAGCATTATGCACCATATATGACTGCAAGCTCCGGCAGGTGTGGTATGAACAGCAGTAGACACATGTCTTGGTGCCCAATAGCCCCCACCCCACCCCACCCCACCCTGAGGCCCTTTGATGATTGCATTCATCCTGTCTACACGACTACACCCATTCTAAGTTTCAATCGGTGCCTCTGCTTGTAGAATGTAGCTATTGTAGCTGTGGGCAAGTTGCCGGACGTAACTTTGTGGATCTCTAGTCCGTGTAAGGATTTCGCGGGCTTCGGAACTTTGGGATCGGATTGGTAGAGCTGTCACAAAGGGCGGGCTGGCTTCTGCTGGGGTGGGGTGCCAGGGTCTTGGTAGCATTGAGGATCCTGACCTACTCAGGACATTGCGCCGTCTTCTTTTCCAAGCCCAGAACCCCAAGCCACCGACTAAACATTGCAAAAAGTCAGGGACTTGAACTTGGAAAGTACACCATCAAGCCCGAAAGGAGGATGTCAAGGCTGCGCAGCTCGGCCTCTGCAGACCGGGTCTCAAACCTAGCAAGGGGGCCAGTGCCCTACAACCCTGCCTGACGCTTCGAGCTCCTTGTCCCTGGGTCACATACAGGTCCTCAGACAGAATCCCCACCCTAACAAACGAAACGTACATCCCAGAATGGAAGAATGCTGTGTTGCAGGGGCTTAGGAGACTTCCCAAGCTTTTGAACAATTTGATTTAATCTATTGTTGAGTCTGGAATTTGGACCCCTCAGTCCTCTCAAGTTTTTTGTTTTTTTGGGGCATCGTAGTCTCCCTACAAGTGCAGCTCGCGCTGCTCAACATGCTGCTCGAGAAAATGCTTTGACGGGTAGAAGACTCGTGGGTTGGGACTCAGGCGGTTACATGCTTCTCGGCTGCCAAAGAATCCTAACAGCATTCACAACCAGGATTCGCCATCGGTAGTGGTATGTGCGCTGTTGGGTTGACTGGGGTTGACATTCTGCGCCTTCCGTGCCCCAAGGTACAAGCGTCGGGCCCTCGAGACACACCCTGACAAGGTTCGACATCGTCATGAACAAATTGGGGTCGTGGGATTGAAGTTTTAGACAATTGTTCGGGCGCTCTTCCATAGTCGTGGTTGAGGGTTTAAGTTTTGAGGGATTTCATGGTCGGGTGTGAAAGTTCTCGATACGTGTATGGTATGGTGTGTTCTTCCCGAAGGCAAACAACATGCGGTTGCAAGGGCCGATGTTTTTGCCCTCGTTGCCCAATGTAAGTCTTGAGAGGATGACACCGGAACACTTTTTTGGATCTGGCTCAATCGTGGCCTGTCTTGCTACAAGCCAGCTCAACAGGACCAAGCTGCTGCAAATCTGCGGAAGCTTGAGCTGCAGCGATGCACGCGAACATCTTGTAAAACTGCTGCGCAAAGCCATACCGCACCCGTTGCTGGGGGAGTCTTGAAATTCCTTCCACTTCCCCAATCCACGAGATGGTGCTGAACTGCCAGGGCGGCGATGTTGAAGAGTTCCGCGCCGTGCGCAAAGCCTATGAGCAGCTACTCAAGGCGAGCACAGGGAGGCTCTGAGTTTGGAGCTTTGGGCGGACGTAAACCAAGATTGTAGGAGGTCTGTATTTACTTTGCGTGGCGAGTGGCGATGCATCTTGGTTCGGGGTCAAGCCGCAATGCTTGCTGCTTGGGGTGGCGGACTCTTGCCGCTTTAACCTTTTAACCTTGCAGGATATTTACGCTTGTCGGAGTTCGGGTTGGGGTTTCTGGTGTGGGACCTCGGCCCAGTGGATGTTTGTCACAGCCAACATCCAAGCTCTGCGCGGCCATGACCTCGAGAGCTGGCCTTCGTCGGTCAAGTTTCCGGCTTCCGCCTGTGGTCAGGCATTAAGTACGGAACTCCGGTTCGGCTTGAATGGAAACAGACACAAGGCCCACCTCATGTCAATGTAGATAAGCATGCACTTGAGAAGCTTTTCAAACCCCTAGCCCTATGTCTTGCCTTCTCGTTCCAAGACTTGCCATAGTTGTTGCGGTGTCGGCGGTATTTCTCCTTCAGCGGCAGGACTCCCCCGCGCGGCCAGCAGCCGCTGCGAGCCCACCGTGCCTTTGGCAGTTTTAGAGAAGTTACAGCGGGGGCCTGCATAGTTAGAATAGGGTAATTATCGTATAATTATAAAACGGAACCAGAAGGGAATACTATTAGTAATTCTGACCCCTTTTATGACGGTTTTCTGGGCGAGGCTTTCTTTAGCCTCGAGAAGTCCAGGATTCAAGGGTTGGGGTTGGTGGCCTCAGGGTGCATGTTTATTTCCGGAGTTAGAATCGCTAGAATCCTTTTGGAGCGTCTGCCCGGCTTAGCGTCGTCGCGAAACCCCATAGCCTCCGAAACCGAAAAACCATGTGAACCTTGTCTTGCCCTAAAACAGCGGTGGGTCTACACCCTGAAGCCTGAAGCCCCAACGTATCACCCAATACCAACCATTTAACATCTGACCCTCAAGTCTGAAGGTTTCTTCTGCTTGCCCCAAGGCAGACAAAGCCGACCGGCGTGGCTCCTTTCCCGAGGCACCTGTGCTGCGGCAACTTCCCCTGGCACGACGCGATATCTGTGATTGGGGGAGGGTTTTTTGGTGGCCTAGGGAAGCACATACCTCTTACATGGTTGGGTCTCTGAGATGGCCGCCCAACGACAACACATACAACCCTGTCACAGGGGCTTTAGCGATCTCTTCTCCGACTTCGGCGGCCCGGCGACCACTCCCTTACGCTTTCGAAGCGAACCGCGCAAGAGGACTGATTTTGGTTTTGCTCTGCAAGAGGGTGTCCTGAAATTCCGGGATTGAGAGAGAGCTGTCTCTCGAAGTCCCTTTTCGGAGGTTCTGGGTAGGATGCTGCCGCTCAAGGCTGGGTAGCTTAGTGGGGTGAAGACCGTAGACCCCCTCAAACCGTGCAATCGGTGCCCTTAATAATGGAAACTGAATCGCCAGGCAATGGGGATAGTCTTGAAGAGCGACGAAAATGGGTTCCAAGAGCTCCATATAACACACAATTCGTAGTCTCTTGTGCAACACACCATATGGGAACGGATCTTTGACCCGGTGAGCCACAACAGCGCGAAACTCAACCCTCTGAACGCAATGTTCATCGCGCAAGATCATATGGTTGTGGCCGCTCATGGCGGAATTTAGCTGAGTTGTGTATCAGCTTTCGGGCAGGAGGCGGACCCTCGAGGAGTCGATCGACCTGGCCTTCGCCTCCATCCCTCTTGCGGCTTCTGGGTTTAGGCGGAAGCCCAAAAGCCACCACGGTTTCGATTGGCTCCGGGTTGAGGAAGAAGGTATTGTCTTAATGATGTCGGCTCGGTCTTGAAGGATTGAGGGCGTCAAGGTTCATGGCACCCAGTAGCGACCAGGATGTGCAGCTCTTGGCCCCTGACGCGGTATCCCTACGGAAGCCCGGAAAAAAGTAAACCTTCATCCGGACAGTTAAACGATCCAAAGCGCCAGTTCCAATAACAAAAAGTTGAGGATTCCTGCCAGGCCTCCAAATTGATACAACCTCTTGGCGCTTGAACCTTCTGATCATCCGACGCCCATGAATATAAATATAAATATAAATATAAATATAAAAGAAATGTATAAATATGAATCTAAATATAAATGCAAATATAAACATGAATATGAATATGAATATTACTATGAATATGAATATAGATATAAGTATAAATATAAATATTCATATAAATAAATATAAATATATATATGTATATATATATATATCTGAATATAAATATGAATATAAATGTACAGATGATACACAGCTTGAAAAGTCCTGAAGACCCAAAAGCCCAGAACTGATAAACCCCCAGACCTGTTCTGGGCCCTTCTCGCTCGAAACAGTCCATCAAAGGCTTTCCCCCGCCGGCCACCGGTGCCATCCCAAAGGTGCCCGTCTAAGGGAAGGGGCGGGGCTGTTGAGGGCTTCATCCGGATTTCACTCCATGTCGAGGTTTTGTGAAACTTCTTTTTGTGGCTCGTGCCAGCCATGCAGGTTAGCCTTACAAGGCCAGATCTAATGCACCGGATCTCTTCTGACCTCCAAAGTTGAGTGGTGGAGAGCGCGCCTAGCACTATCCTGTGAGACCGGTTAGGAAGCGTGCTGTCAGCTCTTGAACCACTCTGGTGTTTCAATGCCAACTGCATCTTAGCAAATAACAAGAGGCAGAGGAGTGCACCTGGCAGAGAGAGTCAGGGGCTGTTTCTGTTGGAGCTTGAAGCTCCGCAGAAATGGTGTGAGTCACATTGATGCTTCCCATCACGGAAACGTCTGGTAAAAGGCCAAAGACTTGGTGCGCTGTCAAGGGAGGCTGTTATGGCCAGCGCTGAAACCATCCGATGCTAAGAACACTTACAACGACACGTGTGCATAGAGGAGGCCAACACCAGCCAAGTAGGGGTCCTTGCCAGGGAACAAAAGGGTGGAGTGGTGCACATTCATGCCACCAGAGCTCACTGCCACCCATTCCAACTCATTCGCTTGCAGTGTTGACTCAATCGTTGCCTGCCAGGTTGGCACAGATTTCTCTCATGCCAACCCTTGCAGTCTGCAAGCTAAAGGGAGGTGAAATCTCCACATGAAGGGCAGGACTTGGAGCACTTTTTGCTGGGCCAAAGCACAGATAAAGTTGCAGGAATGACCTTGACGATCAAACTTGACGAGTCTTGCAATAGATTTCAACTAGCAAACAGCGCACTTCGCCAAGCGTCACTCCCTTTGTGCAAGGATATTGACCTTCTCAAGCCGGTATTCACTTGTTGGTGCATGCGTGCTCTTCGTGCTTACTATTTTTTGCTCATGTTAGTGGCTTTGGGGGATGTATATGCTAGTTTTGCGATAGGTCTGCTGAGACTTCAGAGTCAGGCAGGTGTATCGAGCGCGGTGTGTCGGGTTAGGGGGTGCTGACGGTAGAGATGCTGCTGGCTGATGTGTTTGAGGCGGAGGCCCATGGAGCCCGCAAGCCCCCGGGTGGCCGCCCCACAATTGCCACTCCGCTGTGCGGTTTGAGAGGATTTTCAATTTTGGGCACGCAAACCTCGCCTTGAGGAAATCTCATAGAGAACCCTTAGTTTGATGCAAGGGTTGAAAGTGTCCTAGCTGTTGAGGGATGAGCAGGGAGAGAGCTGAGCGGCGGGACCATTCAGGTGTACTCTTTATGACTTTGATGTTGAAGTCGCAGAATGGATTCATTATTCAAGACAAGGTGCATTCTTTGTTCAAGCAAAGTGGAATCATGACCAACGAAGGTTTAAGCTCTGCACGTTTAAGCAGTTTTAGCTCATCACCGCCATCAGTAATGCCGGACCCTTTTGGTTGTTGACAACTTGCGGCTGCAACGCGAAAGAGTTTCAAAACCTTTCAAGCGAAGAGCCAAGGAGGCCGATGACCACAGCCGGAGCAAAAACTGCAACGACCTCAACTCCGGCCCCGCGGAGCGAGCGGAGCGAGCGGAGCGAAGGAACCGAGGCCTTCGAGGCCTGGCAGCGGCTGATTTGAGAACTTGGAGCGCTTTTTGTGACCGGGTGGAGTGGATGCTCCCCAGTGGCCCACGGAGGCTTCGTCTCCGGTGGCAAAAATGTGGAAGAAGCTGCGCCTTGCCAGCACTAGGTGCCACTAGGTGCCGTTGGACTTTTTTGGGGTTCAGGCCGTCATCGTTTGCTCAAGCATAATAGCGATTCTGGTCTACTGCTTTTGGAACATCAGCTTCAGCAACAAATCTTGGGCCCCCCAAGCCTCCAAAGCCCATCTTGATCAGGTGGGCGTCTGCTTGCAAAATCATTAGCATCATAAATCGCTCTGTCCGGAACTTTCTCCGGAGATTTTGGATTTGGAGGCACCGGGCCAGGCTGAAAAACAACAGGAGCAGGCAGGAGCAGGATGGGGGGCTTAAGACACCAGAGGGTTCTTGGAGTTGTGTTCGCTGCTGTTTTTGGGGTACTTCGAGTGCATCTGAGGCTCGAGTTGACTCCGGAGAAGCGTAAACAGGCTGGGCGTTGTTTGTCACCGACCTGGCTCATTCCTGACCTAACCTGAACCCCGCAACTGGGACCCCAGATAGGTTGCGTGCAACCCCCTGGCCTTATGACAGCTGCGAGCATCCAACCGAGTCCCGAAGGATCTAAGCCACACATGAGACCTTCAGCCAATCGTCAATACCTTTTTTTCACAGGTTCTACTGTTGGGGAGTTTTTTGCTCACTTCTTTTCACACAGGCGATGTTTGAGCCAATCCTGTTCTTTTTTTGCAACATACACTTCGGGACACAGCAGCTTCTGGCCAACGCAGTGCTGCATTCCCAGCAAAGGCAGACTCATACAAGTATGCATATGAGTACGAGTACGGATACTTATTTGGGAGAAATGTTTTCTCGAGAGAAAGTCGCTGTTTTCATAGGTTTGCAGTTTGGGGATTCTCGCATGGGAACTATGGGGGACTACGGAGGTCTGACCGTCATACGAGCACTAGGCAGCAATAGCAGCAATACTCATCCTAATACGAATGACGAATGCCAATCCGAATGTTAAACCATACTGCCAGTAAGGTGAATACTCATGCAGTACTGATACGCATCGTATTATTACTATACCATCACTAATACTAGTACTCTAAATGCTCTCTTACTAAGACTAACATGGGCACTAGCACCAACACCAATGCAAACCCTAGTGCTACTGTAGATGCTAATGCAGGGCTACCACAGATGCTAATGCAGATGCTGATGCTAATGCAGATGCTCATGCATGATGCTAATGCAGATGCTAATGCAGATGCTCATTCTACCATTGACACCTCTACTAGTACTATTCCTGCACGATATTAAGTGCATCATTGGTATGCTCATCCCAGCTTGGTATTTTGATCCTGCAATTCCAAACTTTAAACTGATCCTTGTCAGTTCTTGGCTCTGCAAACAGACTCTTGCACAGGAGCGGCAAGCCACTGAGCCCAAAACCCAAGAACCACTGTGCCCCTGCCAGGCCATCAGCGGTCTTCCGGCAGATGGCTTAGCTCGGCCCACTTCAGCCTGTCAAAACCCAAGCTCCCAAAGTGGCCTCTAGGGATGCGCGTCAAAGGGAGCTTATCAGGACACCCATGGCATGCCGCAGGTGTGCTCTAAGATGTATGGGGACTTGGGCATGCAGCCCTGTACAACTCTCTATGCCGTGCTGCCTTTTGGTTGGTTGTTGTGGCTTCGGGTGAAGTCCCCTGCTTCTTGCCCGGCGTCTGCCAGAAGACGGTCAGCCCTTTCGTTGCCCGTGGGGTTAAATGGGCTTGACTACGGGAGTACGGGACTGTTGCAGGCTTTTTTGCTCTCGAAGCCTTCAAGCCCCACTCCAGCCCATTTTCAGGCCCATCCACTACGTGACTCCTAGTGGGTTTGCGTGTCAGGTGCGACGAGACAATCCAAGGGATGCTTGCCTTCAAGAGCTTGGTCGGAAGCCCCCTAACCAGCTCTTCTTGCTGAGGCGTCGGCCAAGCTGCAGCTGAAAGCGCACCTCCAGGCGATGTCGAAACTGCCATGAACCTGCAAGTAGAAAAGCCCTACACGCTCAGCATGGTCCAAGCAGGCCCGTCAATCCTGGTTTGACAACCTGGGAATTACAGGATAGACGTTGTTTGTGCACGGGCTTTTCACGTAAGAGTTTGGCGTTTTTGTAAGATAAGGGCAAGGAGGGGGTGGGGCTGATTATAAGGTGTTTTTTCAAAAGAGACCACCACCATCGGCAATATGTGTCAAGACAAGAACGATCTGCGTGCTGCGGGCAGCATCATTGATTTTGCAGCACGCTCTTCTTGCGAATTAAACGAGCACAAGGGGGAAGCAAGCACACACGCACACAGGTTCCACAGCGGTGTCAATTCCAGTCACAAACACAGTTCTGACCTGGATGAAGCCCTATCCAAAGGCCTGAAGCAGATCGATCCCTGTGACACTCTTTTGTAAAGAGGTTGTTGCGGGATTTGGACGGTTTAGGGTGTTGGTGGGCTCCAGCGCCCTGAACCCCACCCCAAGCAAACGAAAAGGTGAGATGGACCCAACCCCATCTCCCACATTCTTGGTAGATGTACGAGTTCCGGCACCCCCGACCCCACCCGAAACAACGAAAGGCTCAACATCGACACCCATCCAAGCCCTGAGGCGCAGAAGCAAGGGCAGCAAACGGAACAGTCCACGCGAGCGAGTGGAGGAGATCTCCGTTTAAAGTTTAGGATTTTGAGTCTTGGGCTCGGGGCCCGAAGCAGGGGTGTAAGAGTTTTAGGCGTTACCTGTCAGGTACTCTTAGCTTTAGGGTCTTAAGGTTAAGGGGGGCGTGTGGTTTAAAGTTGAAGGTGTAATGGTTATGTTAGGAATGACAGTCGCACTTCAAAGTGAGTCAAACTTGATGTGGGCATTGTTTGTCTTACTGTTGCGACAGCGAAGCGTCCCGGTCCCACCAGAAGAGCAGAACGGTTTTGTGCGTGGGCTGGCAAGAAGTAGCGCTCTTGTCGATACATCTTGGAGTTCTCGGGTTGAAAGCGAGTTTTAGGGGTTCACGGGCCGGTACAGCAGGAAAGCCCATGCGGCAGATGAAAAGGATCTGCACTTAGGTTTCTAGACCGGACTTGTCAGCACCCCTGAATCATCACAGCCAAGTCGGCAGTTCAATTCGAAGCTGCGTGAACCTCAGCCTTCGTGTGACTAGTGGTTCCATGGTGTCCTCCACACGCTTCGGGGAGTGGAGCTCCTGTGCACTTGGCTTGCAGTCGTCCAGGGCTTCTAACTACACGTCGGGGTTGTTTAGTCCCTAAGCCCAAGCATTGTCTTACCACCCTCCCCCCCCCCCCACAGGCGAGGACTCGAGCTCCTCGGACAGCTCTTCCAGCAGCTCCAGCGAAGGTGGCTTTCAGCCTCAAGTGCTTCGTCCTAGGTGTGCAGCGCACCGCGCGGCAGGGCAAACGTAAAAACTTGTAAGTGGGCGTTTTTTCCTCCGCAGGTCTGCCTTTCCCGGCCCTGTCCGACTGGTGCCAAAACTCTCCCACGTCTTATCGGTTGGGCTCATGATGGGTAGTGCATGGTAGTGCCACTCAGATAATGAGTCGTTTTTGGGGTTGTGCTGTCTTTGAGCGGAAGCTTGAATGCCCTTCTTGTATTCTGATAGCATTAAGTATTAAGTTGAAATAGCATTATGCATTTTATATCAACATGTTATGATGTTAACGTATCACTTTCTCGTGCGGAGGTTCCGAAGCTGCTGCACCCAGCACCGTGCGCCGGAGGGCATCTTGGAGTTTTTGTTTTCGGCCTGCTCTGCCTTGGCTGCGACGATCTCGCTTCGAATGACTCTTTTTGTGGCTTACTAGGGTCCTTGGGTGCTCTTTGACACTTCGCTAGACTTGGGGTCTTATCAATACCGGTGCGACAAACTCTGCAGCACCTTTGATTCTAAAGCTGGGGCGGGGGGGGGCGGGGGTTTTCGGCCAGCCGAAATGTCCGAAACTCATGCACTCAGGAAGAAGGTTTGGCAGCTTGAGGTTCAGGATGCCAGGCAAGGCCAGGCATATTCAGGGCTCTGAGATTAGGTGCGGCGTCTTTTTGTTTTCTCCAAATGGTGTGCGGGGGTGCGGGGCTGTTAGATGTTAAGACTGTCAAGAGCACTGTTAAGTGCTATTCTTCTCGGCCGGGTCTCCTGGCCTCTCCCCAGAAGAGAACAAGCGAAACCCAGCCAGAGTACCAACATCAACACGTATCAGCCCACGGACTTTTGAGACCACAGGTTTCGGCGAAGTTTTCAGACTTCTCGGAGACGCCTTCGCGGCTTCAGGGCTCTTGCGATTCGGTTCATTTAGGCATGTTTAGGCCATAGAGCTTGATATTTCAGAGGACTGTCTGGATCCCGCTCTGGCTCTGAAGCACTTTCGTCTTGGCGAGCATGGAAGCATGACAAATGCCAATGCTTCGGGCAATGAGCCTCACCTGCAAGTTGTGCGCGGGGCGTGGGAGGGGGGGGAGGGGGTCCGAGGGTTCTGGGGGACTTTGCGCCGACAAAGGCAGACACGCAGACGGAGACAGAGATGCTCACAGACACACACAGAGACAGAGACACGGAGAGAGACGGAGAGAGAGTGAGGGGGAGAGCTTTCTTGGATAGGGCTCCCCCCTAGCTTCTTTTCGCACGTCCACGCTTGAGATGTTGCGGGGTGCGCCCTGAAATTCAAAAGAGCATGCCAGGGCCGTCGCAATCCACCAAAATTGGGTGGGGCACACGAGTAGCTCTGGGAAGCCTCGCCTTTTAACTGGCCAGTACCTAAGAATATATTCCTGTGTGTTCCTAGATCCCCAGCCTCAACCCAGCCCGAAACAGCTAAACCGCCTTGGGTCCTACAAAACGATCTCAACCTGCAGACAGAGCCTACAACTATCCTGTTCCAAGTAAAGTGTGGATTCAAAGTCACCCTCTGGAGCCAATGCAAGCTCAAGGACGACGATGAACCTGCCATCCTCGAAGCAGAGGCCTTCTCCACCCTTTAGGGCTCAAGGTCTTGGGAGTGATGGCCAATTTGCGGAGGCTTGGGGGGGCCTCGCACAGTTGGCGCACTGTTGGGGTGTCAAACTCAGGACTCAAAGGGTTGAGTATCCTGCTCTCTGCATTTGGCCGGGAACTAGACCATGAGTAACCTCAAGGCTTTGATTTGCCTGCACTCTGGGTTTGTTGGTTTGAGATCGTCGCCCCCAGCATCAGCCAGGATGCAAGATTCTGGCAAACGCCGAACTTAGAAGGGCAGGTTCAAAGCGCTTTAAAGTTTACACCTTGTTCTGGGAATGTACGTCCTGCTTGCGACCTTTTTCCGCACGACAAAGTCATTCGCCGGGCATGATTCGGGAACTACAACTAGGGTTCCGGGCTATGTACAATGTTGGATCTGTAGAGGAAGGGAGCGCAGTCAACGCCAAGTTCAACCAGAGCATGGTTTTTTGGGTTTCTTTCATTTATCTTCCGTCTTAGCTCGAGCTGGTGGTCCACGGCTGCCGGTTGCAAAAAATGCTCAGCTCGGCGACACTGACAGCCCGTGATGTCTGCAGGTAGAAATCCCCAGCGGCTACGTGCCGGGAGATTCGTTCTGGATCGAGGTGAATGGCCGGGCGATAGAACCCAAGAAGCAACAATCAGAGGTCTGTGACAGTTTGTGTTTGTCTGCAGGTTCCTGGGATTGTAACCTTTAGGTCCGTAGCACAAAGCCCAAGCCTCCGGTCTCCTCTGTGCTGCTTGGACTTGCAGCTGGCCTACGGCTCAGGAAGTCGTCGTCCCAGAGGGATGCGCGGAAGGAAGCGTCCTCACGATTGAGGCCAGGGTTCAGGCCTTTGAGGTAATAACCTCTCGCTGACCCGTGATGAACAGATTTCGGCTGTAGCAGGTTGCTCCGCCTTGCTCCCCCGTGCCCGCCTTTGCCCCTGGAGCTTTGAGAGCTGAAGCCTCGCAGGTTTCTGTCTCCTGTTTTTCTTTGCGGCACTGTACTTGCTTTCGAGCTCCGGATGAAAAGGTCAAAGAATCTAGGATTCAGAGTGCAAGGTTGGCAGTTGGGGTTGAGAGTGTGCGGCATGAGAGCCGTTCAGATTCAGGGAGCTTAAGCTCTCCCTGTTTTCAGGTGCCCTCAGTCAGCGAGTTGGCGTTTTCTGTGCCTTGGAGTTCACTAATCCACCAAGCCGGGGCTTTGTGACCCACATGTTAAGGGGGAAAAAGGTGATTCTCAATCGGCATCAGGCCTTCAGCCTCCCGAGAATGCAGAAGAACTCAGAACCGCCAAGACAACAAATCAAGGAGTCCGAGCGAGTGGGCCTGGAGTCCTCCGAGCCGTCACAAACGCTGCAGTCACCGACAGAGCTTGTCGAGGACAGCCTATAGCCTTGCGGGTCCACAGTTTTTTTGGATTGGGAGGGGAGGGGCAGTAGTATTTGGATGTGGGATTTTAGGCGTTTAGGATCCATGTGGGTTTTTCGTGCACCGTCAGGCCTGCAGCGAGAGCTGAAATAGATTGATGGCATCTATCTGGGGGTGGCCTGGAAGGTTTGGGTTACACAGTGTCCCTTCTTGTTTTACGGGTTTGAAGATCATAGGCAATTGGAAATGGGCAATGGCGTTTGGGGTTCGAATCGTGCTTGTTATGGACTGCAGCCTAGCTGTGAGCAACAGGGCTTGCGAAGAAAGCAGCGGCCAACGAAATCAGAGTTCGAACCCTCTGAATATCTGGACTCCTGCCAAGTACCGAGGTATCTGTCCTGACGGTACTGTACTAATTGCTCAAGCTGCGAAAGAGGGGTAGGCTGCAAAGCTCACTCGCATCTCCTAACCCCTCACATCTCAACGCTGCTAAATTCAAGTTATTCAAGTTCCTTCCTAGTGCAAGCTGCAGAGATCTTGGAACAAGTTATGCGGTGCAGCTTCTAGCATGGACCAGGGTTCCCTTGGTCCGGTATTGACGGGTTGCTAGGCTTTGAGCCCGTAAGGTTTTCGGCTTTGAACGTTTGAAGGTTCCTGGTTTTTGCGCGCCTGAAGCCCCTGTGACCCACTGAGCGTTTTAACTCATGGGGGCTTTTGATGGAGGTGTCGAGTCTAGATTTTGGCACAGGAAATGCAACTAGTACCCTGGACGCGAAGAAGCCACTGCAACCTCAAGCACCCCCGAGTTTAAAAAGGAAGGTTGAACCCTTGAGCCACCTTAAGACGCCTCAAGTCGAAGCCCACATTCCCTGCAAAAGGTCGAGGTGGCGGTTCCTTCGCAGAGCAAAGTCGGCGACACATTCGCGATCGAGGTGGGACTAAAGTTTCCGGCACTCGGGATTTGGCGTTCAGTGATGTCTTTTGAGAGGCATCCTTCGATTCGACAAGGACCCTCCCTGAAGCCATGCAGCTTGCTTCATAGCCTTGTAAATCAGTCTTGCAAACAGCCAAATCCAAGCTTCATTATCGTGGTTTCGGAGTTTGGACTGGGTGATTCTTTTGGACTGGGACGCAGGCCTAAATCTTGTATGTATGGTGTGGAATCGTGTAGTAAAAGTAGAAGGCTGTCGGGACCTTCTGTGCCCTAACGTTGCCGGGACGTAGTCGAGGATCTCAGGTCGCAGGGTCAGGATCTCAAAACAGGACACAACCATCTTGGGACGTTTCCCCTTTATACTAGCAGCAGTCGGATTATAGTAGGGGGCACCATAATCCCAATTGAGGACTGCAACAGTGTAAAGGGGGAACATCCCAACAGACGTCACACAAGTCGGCCTCGTCTTCAGTCGGGTTGAGAGCTCAGACCGACATGACCAGAGTGGTACCCGTGACGGCCCAGGATCGCCCCGTGTCCCTGTGTCCCTTTTTTGGAATGTTGAAAGCTTCCGAAAATTCTGAAGCACCTTCGGTAGGTTCATGGCAAGCTTTACTCCGTCCAAGTTCCGGAAGACACCGGGCCAGGCCGTTCCCACCACTTGCAAGCGTGATGTTGCTTTGGCTTTGAGGATTTGGGGTTCGTCTTTTTTGGGGCAGGTGCGCGGTTTAGGACAAGAGCTCTACGCTTTAGGATGTGTAGCCAAGGGAGCCGCATGTCTCTCTTATTCGCTTCTGGGTGTTCGGGTGTTCAGTGATGTTGCGTGTTTGGAGTTGGGATGCGCTCTGCTTTTGGAGACGAGCCTTTGTTGGAGGCTCCGCAGTCGCAGCGTTTTTGAAACGGCTATAGCACAATTAATTAATTTCCAGACATGTCTAACCCTTCAGATCCCTTCAGGGCCCTTCGGACCTTTCCTCCGCAAGGTGAACTTTTCAAGGTCGCCGTGGCCTCTGAGAAACCAGGGCCGGCCAAAGAAGAACCGGGAGATGCACAACGGCTGCGTCAATGTTGTGAGTGTTGTGGAGGGACGATTGTGCTAATAGGGCTGAAGGAATTTGAAGGATTTCGAACGTTAGGTATGGTGAGGCTATTTTTGTTGTAAATCTGATTTGTGAAAGGAAAGTGCAAAGGGATTGGGAGCTTAGGTTGAAAAGTGGGGTTTGGAGTTGCCTTGCATGCCTAGCATCTTTCTGTTGGCGCTTACGCGCGCGGGTTTAGACTGTTTAGAGCTCTGCTCTAAGGGAAGACGTATGCTGGGGGGATATGGGGCCATGGGGGGGCTCAGGCTGAGGGATGCCACGTGGCCATCCGGGGTCTTCGTAGGTGAGGGTATGGTGGTGGCTTCTCGGTTGAACCGCTTCAGGTTGCGGGAACAACGCGAGAAAGCCCACAGCTTCTGTTCACAAGGAGAACGCTTCTGTTCACAAGGAGTGTAGTTTGGAGCTGAACCTGAAATCCTCGAAAACCCCTGGAGCATCCCTTAAAGCCCTTTGCTCAGGTGGACATCATGGTCCCGGATGGTGTCAAGGCAGGGAGGGACTGAGAGGGACCTGAGAGGGAGTTTTGGGAGTTTGGGAGACTTTTGGTGGGACGCAACACACAAGGCTTGCTTCAGGCTTAGGGCAAGTTAAGGCGAAGAGCGAAGAGCCCAAAAACACAAACTCTGGGCTTCTGCTCCCTCCACCTTTAAGGCCCAACACGAAATGCCTTCGGAAGCACTGCAGCTGACCACGAGCTTTTGAATATGAGCTTGCAAGTGCTTGAGGTTCTGCGTAGTCCTGCCCAAGCCCACAGGTTCTGCACGCTCCACCCAAGACATCCCTCACCATCCACACCGCAGGCAGGAGACCTCCTCAACCTGGAGCTCGAAGGGCGGCAGCTCCAAGTAGCAGTGCCTTGGCCGCCCTGTCGCTCGGTCCCAGGCATCGTTTGAACTCACGCTGCGCTCCACTACCCATGGTCCAAGACGGGCAGTTCCATTGTCACTTTGACTCCGGCAATCCTCAAGTGAATGCTACTTGACACGAGACGAAGTGCACGGTAAAATAATGGAGCCCTGGATCCTTGTGTGGCCCAGGGACATACGATGACCTATGTCATGCTTAATAACAACAATTTCGATCCTGGCGGCCCCGACGCCAAAACGTCCAAAACGTGGTTGCCACTTCAGAGATACGAGGTTCCAAAAACGAAGACAGTTTCGAGGATGGCGACGACAATGCTCCCTCCCTTTCTAGTCCAAAGTAGCGTTTTTTGGGAGGAGTGTTGCGCGTGACCATGCCGCGAACAAAAGCGCTGTGGCCCCCCCGATGGTTTCACCTCGCGCTCATTGCTGGCCTTCTTCTTGTTGTTATGTGCTATGGTTAGTAGTTAATAATCACTACTTCTTTACTCGTCTTCCTACGATTGTTATTCTTGTTTTTTATGATCAGCATGCGTACTATCACTATTGTGATTATTGATGGCGTTATTATCAGAATTATAGTAATGATGTAGAAAGCATATAATAGTACTAACAATAGTTGAGTAATCTGGTCGGGGGAGCACCCATGAAAACACCTTCTCGCCACCTTCGGGGAAGTCGCCCCGAGCAGCACCTCTTCAAGCCATCAGCATGTGACACATTTTAAAATACCCTCAGACGCGCCTCTACACAACGCGCTGTGAACACTTTTTCAGGTCCCACATCATTGTGGCCCGGGATCCCTCCTGCGACTGAGGGCCCCTGCGCAGGGATCGCGCCACTTGGCACAGGATGTTCTTGAGAGAGTTTTCCAGCGTGGTTTACCACCCCCCGGATACCGCCTCCTGCATGGTGGGAGGAACCCACGCTCAACCGCAGAACCTGAAATCCAGGCTAGAGTGAATTAAACCCAGGTTGAAGCCAAGCTTCGGGAGCATCAGGAAATGGTCAAGCCAGGCTTGAAACGGTTACCTTCCACCCTCCCCGACCTCCCTCTTCCCTCCCCGCCCCCTTCCCCCCCCCCCCCCCCCCCCCCCCCCCCCCCCCCCCCCCCCCCCCCCCCCCCCCCCCCCCCGCACCTCTTCACCCCCCCTCCCCCATCACAGAAACCGGCGCTGCATTGTTGTCTGAATTCTAGGGCTCCCGGCGTAGGATTCTCTGTTTGTTGTGCAAGGGCTGTGGTTGTTTTTCTAGGGTGTCACATATTTCAGCCGTGTTTAAGGGGTACCTGGATTATGCTTCCATGGGGTCGAGACTTTCTTTGCTGCATAAAACGCGAGTTGCAGATTTGGGTTGGGATCGGTTGTCTGTAGTGGCCAGGTGGATTGCTGAGTTAAATTTTTCAAAGCTGTTGCCCTCTTAAGGCCACACATCCTCCGTATCTTCCAGCGGTACGTCCAAAGTGGAGGCTGCGCTGCAGCATCCTTCCCTTCCGGTAGACTTACCCTGCATCCTGGGCTCACACTGAAAGGCTGCTCACCCCCAGCAACATGTTCAGCTGCAATTTTTCCGTGTGAGGAGTGTTTCAGTGTTTTGAGAGTCATCGGAAGTCGTTCTAATGCTGTGCCTTGGTAGAGCCCTCCAAGAAACTTCTTTAAGCCACTAGGCATAAGGGGCTTTGTTCTCAGATGGCTTCTGAGGCCGAGCCACTCGGAGAAGACTAGCAACAAAAAGAAACGGGAGTTGAGCAAGCACTCGCGGGTGCGCATGGCATTCCGGCATTCCTGCCTAGGAATCGGTCACCAAAACGAGGATGTGTAAAGACAGATCGATCGGCGTCGACAATAAGGTCGAGCACTTTAGAACAGGACTGGTGCTGATCCGACATGTTGCAACCGTCAGCCGATAGAGCGTCCACAACGGGGCTTTAACGGGGCTTTGGGAGCGTGGCTTGGAATTCCAGCATTCAAACACCGTTTCTGGCATCGGGATGAAGCGCCCGCATGGGGTTGACCATGATTGCATTTCTGGATGTTGCAAGACCCTCACTTGGGCGGCATTGTTTAAGTTGGTTTCTGTCGCCGGGTGTGGTCAGCCACACACATCCCGTTCCATGTGTGGTTTCGGAAGATCAGGGCTACGCACTGTTTCGATATTCACAGTTTCTGCTTGCGAAGATGTCGGGCGGTCTGGTGTTTTGTTTTTTGGGCCTAGGTTTGGCTCTGTCTTCTCCCTTTCTTTTTGTCCTCTGGTCCTGCGGTGCTTCGGTCCGGCGGTTCGCGTGTCCTGCGGTCCCCTGTCCTGCGGTCCCTCCCCTGGTCCAGCATCGTGCAAGCTTGCTTCAAGACCATATGAATCCGTTCCAAGCCCATCATGCGAGCATTGTTTTGTAAATGCCCAAACGCATTTGTGTTTTTTAAGCTGCGCAAGCTTGCTTCAAGACCATATGAATCCCGTCCAAGCAAATCATGCAAGCATTGTGTTTGCACATGGTCAAACCCATCATGCAAGCATTGTGCCAAACCCCCCAAACCCCCCAAACCCCCCCAAACCCCCCAAACCCCCCCAAACCCCCCCAACCCCCCCCCCCAAACCCCCCCCCCCCCCCCCCCAACCCCCCCCCCCCCCAAACCCCCCCCCCCAAACCCCCCCCCCAACCCCCCCCCCCCAAACCCCCCCCCCCCCCCCAAACCCCCCCCAAACCCCCCCCCCCCCCCCCCCCCCCCCCCAACCCCCCCCCCCCCAAACCCCCCCAAACCCAACCCCCCCCCCCCCCCCCCCCCCCCCCCCAACCCGCACCCCCAACCCCACCCCCACCCCCCTGCGACCCCCCCACCCCCAACCCCACGCCCCACACCCCCACGGCCCGCACCCCCCGACTTTTTCAAGCTGTGCAAGCTTGCTTCCCGCTGAATATCGCAGGTCAATACGGTGATTGCTAGGATTTGGCACTGTCAAGCGCATTGCGCACTGCAGGTTTGTGTCCCATTCTTGCAAGTGTGCAGGAGCTTGAAATGCAGACAGTACTGTGTAAAACCGTAAATGCTGTACTTGCTAGGATTGACGCATTTTGATTGCCGTGGAGCTGGAAATGCTGAGAACGCTACAATGTACAATTCTAAAAACTTTAATTGCTAGGATGCGCAAGATTTTCACTGTAACTACCCAGGACATGGCAATGCGGAGAACACTGCTATGTACAGCGTAAAAGCCCGTGAATACTGTAATTGCTAGGATTTGGAGTGCAGTCAACCAGGCGAACGTACATAAATACGGTGATTTACAGTATTTGGCGCGGAGTTGGCAATTCTCCAGGAGCCCGAAACGCGGAAAACACTACAAATTGAGTATTTAAAGATATTTAAAGCCTATGAACCGCCAAGGTGTCGAGCCAGACATAGAAGAACAAAAACAGGAATGCCAGACCTCGGAAGAAAAAGAAAGAAACTTCACCCCAGATGTTGCGGTTAGATGGCTTTTCCCATTTTGAGGGTTCAGACGAGTTTGAAACCAAAGCGGAGTTCCTAAAAGTCGGTGAGGGACTTTCGAGAGTCTACATCAATTCTTGTGCGTTTGTCGTTCATTACTCATATTATGGTCGCGAAATTGAGTTTTGCTGCCGCTTGGGTGATGTAGGGCCGAGGGTTCAGAGCTGATGGCCAGCATGCATCCCGTTGCACAGGGCCAAGGAACAATCCAAGCCCTCGAAGCCCTGTGTTTTTTGCGGCGCAGAGAGTGCCGTCAGACCAGACTGTTAGAGGTGGCGATCCCCACGGGATGCAAGCCTGGGGATAGCTTCTTCGTCAACATCGGCGGCCAAGTTCCTCGTCGGAGAGCAGGGCTTAGGTGCTGGGAGGTGGCTTGAGTGAGTCTTCCTAGAGGATGGTGTCTTTACATGCACTCCAAGTTGAAGGAAGGGAATTCTTGGGTGGAAGCTGAGGCTAGCTCTTGGCGTGGGTTGAGACTAGTCTCTTTGCGTTGTTGGCCGTTGAAAATCTGGAGTTGTAGAGTCCGGGATTTACCATTAGGCAAAACTCTGCAATGTCGAAGTGTTATGATACCAACCATAATTACTAGAGAAATTGTGGGACTGTGGGTCGGAGTCCGTGCTTGTTTTCTAGCAGTGTAAGTTCGTTGGACAGTGCAGGTGGCTTACAGCATATGAGTGGGCAAGCCACGTTTTGTGGAGTTTGCCTTACGCCTTACGCTTGGGAGAAATTTAAGAAGTGTCCTGAACCTTCAGCTACTGTTTTCGGGTTCGCCGAAACTTCGCCTGCGTAGGGAATGCCCACTCAATAAGGATGTCCTCGCCACGGTTCCGCCGGATGCAGAGCCTGGGGATACAGTGACCTTGCAGCTTCCAAAGGTGCGAGCCCACACCCCGAACCGTGAAAACGCTGCATTCATCTGCATCCTAATCTCAAGGCCAGTTCGCAACACAAGTCCTGGGCTAAAGCAGAGACAATGCAGTCGTCATCTTGAATTCAAGACCCGTGAGACTTGCAGGTAAACACCAGCTTTTGGTTGGTGCCGAATCGGCCAGTGCTCCCGAATCTGGACTGAGTTGACATAGGCATTAATCCATCTCCATCATCTCTAGGGAGCCCTTTGCGAAAGTTAAGGCCTGAATCCCAAAGCCATCCAAGGCCGCGAACGACATAAACGACAAAAGCGGCACAAACGACATAACATCATCAACGAAAGCACATGAAACACCCACGTCTGTCACGGTAGGCCGAGCGGCCGGATGGAGCAGAGCCGGCGTCACCCCTGGTGGACAAGCTCCAAGAGGCCGATTCCTCTTTCGGATGCTGAGTGGGATGCAGGCTTTGGAGTATGCTTCTGCACTGAACATGGGCTCGGAACATCTCTCGTTTTTTACGGGATTTTGCATTGGAAGCTGATAGGCTTTGTGGGGCGTTTTGTAGGTTTAGTGCTTCACGGGGTTCCTGAGCCTGTGCCGTAAATCCGAAAACCCTTTCTCCCCTCTCGGTAAAGAGTCTTTTGAGGTTCTGGGATTAGGTTAGCTGCGGGAGGAGTTAGCGAGTGAGAGCAAGTGTACCTGCACTCTGAGAACAATCGGATCGAAGCGAGGCTAGGGCAGCCCAGGACAAAAGTTAGGCTTGCGCGTGGAATAAAAGCCGCGCCGGGGTTCAGGTGCGAAGGGCCAGAGCATCCATGCCCGCACGATGATTACGTCCATGTTACCAGTGCGTGGGAATGGCCAGGGCATCCATGCCCGCGCGATGAGTACGTCCATGTTGCAAGTTTGCTTCCTGGATGCGACCGCTGGGGTTGGTCAAAAGACACGTTTCGCTGCGCCTGCCACGATTTCCTGCATTCCCTTGACCCCGTTCTCTAACACGATTTGTTTTGGGGGTGTTTTTTTCAGTGCTGCACGCCAAAGTTTCGAGTTAAGGTTTGGACTTGGGGGGTTACGTTTAGGGTTTAGGGTTTGGAGTTGGGGCTTAAGGTTTGGGGGCTTCGGGGTCTACAGGACCACTTTGGTCTCATAATGTTGAGACAAGAACAGTTCTCAGATGGCACTTTCAAACGTAGTTTCCGTGGTCGCGATTTCGTGACCACGGACTAGCTTGCGGCGACCGCGGGGATTTCATCGCCGGATGGCAAAATCACTGCGCCTGCCACATTATTCTTCGAAGGGGTTAGTGCGTTCCTGTGCGGTTTCGGTTGGGCGCGGTTTTTATTCCACGCGCGCGCCAAGAGTTAGGAGGCCGTGTGATTCAAGTTGCTCCTGGGTTCGGGGCTTTGTTTGGGCTTTGGGCTTAGGACGCCGTTCTTGTGACCGATCTCAAATCTTGCATCGGGGGTCCAAGCTCAACATCCTCAACAGGCTGCGCCCTACATTCTTTCCCTCACTCAGCGCAGCCTGATCTTCCACAAAACAGTATGTAGTATTGCCTCAAGAACTGAAACCAAAAACCCTAAATACGCAGGGGAAGCCATCTTAAGTCTTAAGCCTTACAGAAGAGGCACCCTCTCCTGATTCCTCGGCGGCTGCCGAGTCGCGGGAGGTCGAGGTGCTTTTCTTGCATAAGCCAAAAACATTGAGCATTCAGGGTTCGGAGTTCTAGCAGATTTTCTGCAGCAAGCAGAGTTTGTCAAGGGTCTCGGGTTAGGGGCTGGCATAGGGCTGCTTGAGCTCCGAGATGCTTTGCAAGTTTTACAGTTCGTGCAGCAGCACGGGTTTCAGTTCAAGGTTGCATTATACGACCGGTTCCGGGGCCAGGCAAGAATCCTTCTCCTTGCATGTGCAACCCTGTGTATTCTTATGCGCCAACAGTCATCATTGGTTCAACGATAACAAAAAGCGCGGAGTCCCAAAGCACAACCAGCATCACACGCGCACATTCATTCATTCCTTCCTTCCTTCACTCCTTCATTCCTTCTTGTATTCATTTACTCGTTTATTCATTTATTCACTCATTCACTCATTCACTCATTCACTCATTCACCCATTCACTCATTCACTCATTCACTCATTCACTCATTCAGCCATTCACTCATTCACTCATTCACTCATTCACTCATTCACTCATTCACTCATTCACTCCTTCACTCATTCACTCATTCACTCATTCACTCAGTCACTCACTCACTCATTCACTCATTCACTCACTCACTCATTCACTCATTCACTCATTCACTCATTCACTCATTCACTCACTCATTCACTCATTCACTCATTCACTCATTCACTCATTCACTCATTCACTCATTCACTCATTCACTCATTCACTCATTCACTCATTCACTCACTCATTCACTCACTCACTCATTCACTCATTCACTCACTCACTCATTCACTCATTCACTCATTCACTCACTCATTCACTCATTCACTCATTCACTCATTCACTCATTCACTCATTCACTCATTCACTCATTCACTCATTCACTCATTCACTCATTCACTCATTCACTCATTCACTCATTCACTCATTCACACATGCATGCATTCTCCTGCCCAGGCTTGCAGCCACCAAGTCACAATGAAGTGCATAACGCAGTGTGTTGCAGCCAAGGCTAGATGTCACGGCCAGCACTCGCCTTAAATCCTCAAAAACCTTGAGGTAGGTAGGTATGTATGTATGCATGTATGTATGTGTACACCCTATACCTACATATATATAAACAAATTTACTTGTAGGTGTTCATTTATTAGGAGTTGTGGTTCCATGTTGTGAGGATTCGATCCGATCGTGTCAGGTTCAGGAATTGACTCAGAGGTGCAAAGCGGTTAAAACTCTCAGCTTCAGAGGTGCTAGGCATTGCGTGGCAGAGCTTAGGAAGGATTAGGGATTTCTTCTCACCAGATGTGGAGTCGTTTGGCGGTGGATGAAGGGCTTGGGTATAGCAGGTTGCCCGTACACGCAGTCCGGCTACTGATCGTCAGGAACTTGTTGATCAGACTTTCGTGATTCCAAAGACTTCCCTTCAGCAAAGGCCAATCTCACTGTAAAGTTCAGAAATGACCCCGTGCTTCTTGAACCCTTGAGAAGCCGTCATGAGAGGTCGCGATTCCCGATGACTGCAAAGCTGGCGACACCTTCATCGCACCTGGGCTACCCAGGGTTGAAATGTGGGTTTCGGGATTTGGGGTTGAACATGCGAGGCTTCTAGTGATGACTGAGTGTGGCGACTTCTGACCGACAAGTAGGAGAGGACGGGCATCAGCTGAGATTCGGAGCATTGGGATTCGCAAGGTTTGGCACCAAGGGTGATGCCAGTTGCTCTTTCACCGTGTGCTTTGCATCTGTCATCGTTTCGAAGCATCTGACAGTCTTCCTTCTAGACCAGCACTTCCTGTTGAAGCCTGTTTATCACATCACCTGGTCGTCATGTTGATGATGATGGTGACGACGAAGATGATGACGATGATGCTAACTATGACAACAGCAGCAGGGATGATGCCAAAGCGTCGAAGGGATAGTTCCGCTACCCGGATCCCAAGCATCAAGCTCGTAGAAATGAATGAACGTTTGTCTTGTCGGACAAAGCGATTGGAGATCCTGAGCAGAGGCGAGATTCGATTTGAGAATGAGGAGCATTCCATTGAACAACGGACATGAAGAGTGCAACTGCAATTTAGCATTCGGTTATTTGCTGATAGTGCACCCATGTACACCCCCCAAAAGCCCAAACCGCCCTCATGCCCTTAACCACCTTCTCAGGTCCTCGTGGATGGCCGTGAGCTTGAGATCGCTGTCCCTGAGGGATGCGGGCCTGGCTCGGCCGTTTCGGCCGCAGGGGGGGGGTGGGGTTTGCTCACATGCCTCCGAAAAGGTTGAGGATGTCAGCAAGTTGGTAGGTTTCAAGGTTTCCCTGGGCCTCAAATTCCCTAGGTCGACAGCGGCATATCAAAGGTTTGGGGCTTGTGCTCATCTGTTCCAAGAACCCACCCACGTATCTTTTGTCCACGACCAAAGGAAAGCACATGAGCGCCAATTCCAAATCATTGCTTTAAGCCTAGATGGTGTGCTGTGTTTGGCAACCCAAGATTATCTCCATCAACGTGGACTTTGATGAGTCTCCGCAGTCGTCGCCTTCACCGGCCAAAACATCTCAGGCCACTGAGGAGCGTGAGCATTCTTTAATACAAGACCCTTGAGTTGCTTCGTCTCGCTTTGTTTGTGAATGCTGTGGAAGTCTGCACGGGTGGGTCCTTTTCTGCTATAAAGGGTCACAGAGGATGAACGGAGAATGCTCTCTGAAGCCTGTCATCTTGGTTGTTCCAAGTTTGGGGGGGGGGGGGGGGGGGGGGGGGGTGGGAGGGCTGTCGGGGCGTACGGAGCAGGGTGCAATCCCCAAATCGAGCTCTCAACCCACCCTCACGGGGCACAAAGCACTGGGGTCGCAGGGTTTTGGACTAGAAGCCAGGGCGCCAGGTTTGGGCCCGGGGGGCCGCCCCACAGAAGCACCCGCCCCTTGAAATCGATGCCCTCAACCCTTCTCACCAACCAAACTCCTAAGCTTGAGGCATCGGCCCTACTTGAAAAACCGCTGAAGGTTCGACTAGAAGCTAAGTGAATCTAGAAGTCTTAAAGCCATGTAAAGCCCTTGCAGGAAGCCACTAGTGTGGAGATTGAAGTGGTTGTTCCGGACGGCCTGCTTCCGGGCGACACGTTTGAAGTGGAGCCACTCGGATAAACCCGAAGCCTAGAGCTTTGGCAAGCAGATCTCCCCCCCCGCAATTTCGTAGCTTGTGCTTGTGTTGCGTACCGCGCTGTGTACATGTCAGTGGGAAGTGTCACCACTCCGCGCCTGGAGGGTCTTGCTCTGATAGCCCCTTAAGAGAAAGCACTCATTAGAGGTATGACGGCAAGACGATTGAGGCAGCTCGGCTGCACTTCAGCTGCCCATGAAAAGCATGTCGACAAGTGGTCTATAGCACTGCAGGTGGATGTCCCTGCGGACTGTGGGCCCGGCTCGACTGTCGCCATCGCCATTCCAGTGACACCAAACGAGTCCAAGCGAAAGGAGCTCAGCAAGAATCCCAGAAAACTGGACGTCAGGGGTTTGATGCTTAGGACAGGGTGCAGCGATGTGTTCATGAGCCGGCTGCCACTTGAGCGGTGTTGAAGGTGGTTGTTAAAAAGCAAAGGGCAAAACAGGGCTTGTGCTGCAAACCCGCAAAACAAGATCGACGCCCAGCGCCTCTCTCCCACTATTCTGTTCTCCAGCTGTCAGCCCTGGCAACTTCTCACCACCGGGAAGAGGCTCTCGACATCGCGCGACTTGAGTTTTTTCGTGCGCACCAGAAACCATCACAACGATGACGTTTTTTGTGCAGGGTCAGGTTCTTTCACTGTGAACCTTCGCCTCATGGCCTCGTCGTGGGCCTCCTTAAACCAGTATTCTGATATTGGCTAGAGATGTCTTTGTTTCTGTGGGGCTGATCTACCCCTTCCAAGGTGGTTGTACAGGTCTGTGCTCCTTGAAAACCACGGAAACCCCAAGACTCTTTGGCGGCTTGGCTTCTGCCAGAAGCGTTTTGAACCAAAATAGTGTTTGGGAGGAAGCTGAATCTACGCATACGGTATAGAGCCTTTTGGAAGCGACGGGTTTGCTATGACACTTTTGCGCCAAGATATGCGGCTATCCCACTATAAACAGTTGCAACTCACGAAAAAGCTTCCGGCGTTTGGGCGGAAGATGCTGGTGTTTTGTGTTTTGTGTTGGAAAGTAAACACCAGCAACAACTTTCTTCCAGACTTGGGCTTGAAAACCCTGGGCCCGAAACCCAAGCCTTGAACCCGAATCCATCACCGTGGCTAAAGCGGTTTTGACCAGCTGGGGTCTGGGTTCTGAGTTTGGGACTTAAACTTGCCTAAATCGTCCTCAGCCACTCCAAGGCCCGAAGGTCCTGTTTAATTTTTTTTTGGTCTGGGTGCAGAGCCAGCAATGCATTCCCGTGCTAGGAGGCTGCGCCAGTGTCGGCTGCCACAGGCCTTCCAAGGGCCCTGGCGTCGATGAGGGCTGCGAAACACAGTTTGAGCCCTTAAAACCCTTTGAACCCTTTTAAACTCTTTGAAGCCCTAAGATCCCTAGGGTTCGGAAGTCTTTGAGATGTTCATCAGGTTTTGGGTCTTCGTTGGCCGTATTGGAGCTGCAAAGTTGGCAGTGCACAAAAAATCAGGGTTGGAGCCTATGAGGCTTAGAGGCTCTGAAGTATTTACGAACTGCAAGCCCGAGACCGGAAGTTCCCTCCAACCGCAACATGAGGCTGCAGAGCCTTACAGGTTTTTTTTTTTTTTTGGGGGGGGGTTCGGGTTTTGGAAGGACCAGGTTGCTACTACATCACGCAAAACCCAAGAGTCCAAAATGCCTTGATTCCCTGAACCAGAACCCTTCGACCGACCCGCATAAATCGCTAAGTGGGAGCCCTGGTGCTGTGAACTGACTCCAAGCAGGGCATCATGTTCGTGTTGGCTTTGCATGCTCATGGATAGGATACTCGTCGGCTTTTGAAGTATGAGGAGTGAAAACCTGGTGAGGGGTCAAGGGTTTGGAGCGCTCCAGAAGGCGCCGACACTGCCTCTGCCGCTACCGCAGCCAAAGAGGATTCTTGGATGTCCGAGCACAGTGAGCTTAGCAATTGCCTTAGTTGTGGCAACTTGTTGTCTTCTTTTGGGGGAGGGGAGGAGGGGTGGGGATGGGGGAGAAAACGCACGGAAGGCAAGGTAGAAGAATGAAGACATGATGGAAGTAAACCCCTTCTGTTGAAAAGCGATGTAGGCATACTTCGGTGAGTACAATCACATCACCATGTGTGCATATGTTGAAAACAAAGCCGTACAAGGTCACATCAAAGAGTATCATGCCAGTACCATGTTTGCCACCCACTGCCCCTCCTCTACCCTCGGTCTGCCCCTGATCAGAACTGTGCAAGCTCGAATGTTCAAAGCCATGAAAGGTTACCCTCAAAAAGTACGATGTTTGCAAAGGTTGCTTGCAGGTGTGTTCTCCAAGAGTTTCGTCTGAGCGGCGCGTCTGACCATTGTGTTTGCAAAGCTGTGCCCCCGCCCCCCACCAAGCGGTTAGGCTTTCATGAACAGAACGCAAGAAAGAGAACAACAAATAGACTGCTACAAACAAACGGCATGAATTAGCTGAAAGCAAGCAGAACCAACAAATTGCAGAAAGAACAGAAGACAACAAAACACAAGAAGACAGACAGAAAAGTTCCCTACATTTGTATATTCTCGGAAATGACTTTAAACAATGCAGGTAGCGATTGGCGTATACATATACGGATGTGCTGCACAAAGGAAAGTCAACAACAACACCAAACTCACGCAGGCCCCACAACGGTCCCTCCTACTACTACTACTACTACTACTACTACTACTACTACTACTACTCAACTACTACTGGACTACTACTCGACTACTACTCGGCTACTACTCGACTACTGCTACTACGACTACTACTACTACTACTACTACTACTACTACTACTACTACTACTACTACTACTACTACTACTACTACTACTACTACGACTACGACTACGACTACTACTACTACTACTACTACTACTACTACTACTCCTGCTACTACTACTACTACTACTACTACTACTACTACTACTACTACTACTACTACTACTAGTACTACTAGTACTACTACTAGTACTACTACTACTACTACTACTACTACTACTACTACCACTACTACTACTACTACCACTACCACTACCACTACCACTACCACTACCACGACGACGACGACGACGACTGCTACTTGTACTTGCTTAGGGATCCAGATATCCTCATCTTCCACCACGCCAGCTAAATCCCATCCAACCTCTGCTTAAACAGGCTGTGGAACCGTTCGAGGCCCTACGGCAGTTCCACGAATGTTACATTTCAAGACTCATTCGGTGCACAGTATTCAGGGGGAGGGGCTTAAGGTTTACGTTTTGCTCACATCATCTCATCTAACTGAAATGCTAAGTGCTGCGAATCCTAATCTCACAAACCTTAAACCCTACCAAATCCAGAGTTTTCTCAATGTACTAAGGAGGTACCATTGGCCGCCGAAGCGGAGGTGCGAGCTGCCTTGTTGTGGATCCAAGATGAAGGACAATGTGCATTTACAGCTTCGGGGCTTTCGAGCTGAGAATTTCGTGGTTCTTGAGCTCAGCACGTCTTGTTGCGCAAGTGAGGGGCATGGGGGTAAACCTCGGCCCATGTCTAATGAAAGAAGGAGAGAGTCACAACGGGATACCCCTCTGCTTGCAAGTCCAGGCATTTCGGGAGTTGTTTCCGAGCTTTACTGAAGCGACTTCGAACATGGGCGTGTGCTGACGAGTGAGGGGCGGGATCTCTCCGTTCCCTGATGTCCTACAGAACAAAAATCGAGAGAGGGAGAGATGGAGAGAGGGAGAGAGGGAGAGAGAGGAGGGGGAGAGAGACAGGGTGAGAGAAAGGATAGCCAGGCACCGAGAGGTCAGAGGGGTACAGACGTTGGCCTATGGTCAGAAAACCTAGTGAAACTCTGCGCCTATGCTATCTTGTGCCCCATACACCGCGATTCCTATCAGCTGTCCCCGAGACCTTCGAATGCTAGCGCTCGGAGCTTTGGGTGGTAAACAAGCAGGCAGCACACGAGCATGACGGACCAATCATGTTGCAGAATTTGCAACGGTCGTTGAAGTTGTGGGATGGACGAGAAAAATGTGGATTCAGAATGACTTCCGGGACACTTTAGGGGCGCAGATTGCAGCATTATTGTGTTTACATGTCTGTCAGAACTTGATGCACACGGAATTATGAGGTTAGCACCATCTTGTCCTAGTTTCTGAAGCAGGCCCCTCCCGCGGCCACAGTCGCAGCTTCCAACGCGGTCGTCCCAGCCCAAGCATGCAGGGGTTCTGAAATGCTGCAGTAAGGGCGCTCGAGGGTTTGGCCGCTTCGGGCTCGGATTGCAGCTTCAGGCTCAACGAAGCCTGGAACCTTCCCATGCAGATCACAAGCACTCTCTTGTACCATAAAATCAATCCACCCGCCCCGACCCCCCCGCCCACCCGCCCACCCCCTCCCGCAGAACCTACCCCCCTCCCCCAGAACCTACCCTCCTCCCACAGAACCTAGTAAACTTTCAGCCGGTATTTAACTCCATAAACATCACATCGTGCACACACACACACACACCATATCTATGCCTGAAAATCCTATGCCAACTCTAGCTTATTGCTTAGACGACTCGATGTTGACCCCACCCCGCCCCACCCCCTCGCTCCGCGCGCACCCCCTCCCATTGTCCTTCCCAAGGCGAAACTGCCTTTCAGCCTGGAAAGAGCGAAGGTGTCAGTTCAAGGTCTTAAACCGTTGAATCTCAATGCAGCACACGATGTCGAATTAGGTCTTGACAGGGAATGGTTTACAGCAAGTCAAGCCGGGCACACTGAAACCGCGATAGCCGGGCCAAGTCACTGTTAATGTTTGTCACCCTTCCCCATAACCTCCGAAACCTGGAAAACCAAAAGAACGAGATAATTTTCACATCCCAGAGAGGTGCCTGAAGAAACAGAGCCGAAGGAGATGGAAGCGCAGGTTGGCTGTGGGGCGGGGGGGGGCGGCCGAAGCTTTAGAGGAGTGTTTGTTGGGGAAGGACTCACAGGGATACGTGTTATAGACTTGTTTAGGTTTAGGGCTTTGTCTCCGGCTCTTATGGGCTAAGGCTGCTGGGCCATGAGGTTTGGAATCCAGCAGACGAAAAGGCTCCATGAGAATAATGAGACCCAGCAACTGGAGCACACGAAAGCGACTCCCAATGTCCTGCACACAGAAACTTGAGAAGCCCCGAAAGGTATCCTGAGGGCTTTTTTGGGGTGACCTCTTCTTGAAAGGAGGTGGGTGCGGCCCCGGAGACCGTGGAGATCGAAGTGATCGTCCCAGACGGCGTGCAGCCGGGTGATGTCTTCGAAGTGGAGCCCCTCCGACTTGGATTTTGAATGGGGGGGGGGGGGGTGCCTTCCAGGATCGGGGAGTCCTGAGTCCTGGAGTTGAGAGCCAGGAGCACTAAGTTGTAGAAAACCAGGGCTCTGTCAGACTGGGTTGTCAGACCGCTTGGGGTGGCCTTCTTCGCATCCGAAAGAACTTCAGGTGGGTCAGAGACTTAATTAGTGTTTGGTGGAGATCTACACCCCAGACCTGCTTCAAGCAAGTGTGCTTTTGGCACTTGGCTGGATATAGGGCTTCAGGCAGCAGCCGAGCACTTTCATACCCCGATGGTGTACGTCCCTGCAAGTCTAGAGACTGTTGTGATTAAGTTTAAGTGCAAGGAAATACTAACACCCTGAAGCACAAAAGCGTTGAAGCATACTAGCGTCGCACCCAGGTATGATGGCAAGATGCTTGAGGCCCCTCGTCTGAAGAGGAGTTCCCATGAGAATGGGAGCTGCTGCCGGTTTGGGCCTAATGTCTTTAAGTTGAAAAGCGTTAAGCTCGGGGGTGGAGGGGGGGGTGGGAGTAGGGTCGCTTATATCCCTGAACACGAGCCTTGGGGCCCGACACCTTGTGATGACCCCCTCAACCAGAAACCGCTTTTCATTCTAGCCCAGAGATCCCGCAAGGTTTGGGGGCTCTTGAGAATTCGGGCATGTCCGGAGCACACTGGGTCTACAGATACCGGAGCGAAGCCGAGAGAGGCTTCACCGTAGGCCACCCTAGGACCTATAGGCCAAAACAATCGTCGCGAAATTCGCTGTAGTCCAACTTAATTAGGGCAGTTTTGGCTTCAGTGTGAGACCCGTGCCGCCAGGTATTCAAGGTCAGGTGGGCCAATGCTGCAACACCCGGCTCTTGAAGCAGAAAATAGGGTCATAGGCAGCTGCCACGAAGAGAGAAGAACCCAAGCAGCCTCCTCCTTCCCAGGTGGACGTACCTGCTGGCTGCGGTCCTGGCTCTGCAATTACTCTTGCGATCCCCGTGACTCCCCACGAGACGCCACAGGGCTCCAAGGGCCAGGAGGCAGGTCTCTGTTGAGTTTGGGAGTTGAGTTTTTGGTTGAGGGGCTTATGTTCTAGGCAGCTGGGCATACGGCACTGTGAAAAGGGCTTAAGCAGGTTTAGGATGTTTTTGTCCTGCAGGTGTGAGTCGGTGTGAGTGGTTGCGATTTCCGCGGGGGCCCGTGTCCCACGAATTTTCAAGAAGACGTTGGCGAACCTTTTAATTTAAAAGTCGTGGGCCTTCATGACCTGCCTGTTGACCAGGTTCTTTCCGACTGCCAGGTTCTTTCCAAAATTGCTCACAAGCAGTTCGAAGACACGGGAGACTGGAAAACGGCTAGCCCAGGTCAGCAGCTCTCTACACGCAGTGCCAGTGCTGTAATGTGGAGTCGAGTCCTTTCGGAGAGGGGGTCTGTTCAATGGACCCGCTGTCCTGCCCGTTCTGAGAGCCTGAAAACCTGTAGAACCCATCCAAAGGCCCTTGGTGTTTTTGCAGCATGCGCCGCCATCCATGGAGCCTTTCTCTACGGGTTTTGATTTTGGGGGTTGAGGCTTTGGCTTCCGGTTTCGGCGGGGCAACCTGGCAATCCAGAACTTTCAGAAAGTACGGCTGGCTTTCAACCAGTATACACCTGTCTATGTTGCTGCGCTTGGCAGGAGCCCGTGCTGACTGAGGCTACAGGCCGGCTTAGGCTTCAGTGTGAGGGGCTTTGTAGACAGAATTTAGACTCAGGGGAGCCTTCATTGGACCAATGCCCGCCCGAAGGTACAGTCCTCATCGTTGAATTCCGGTGTCTCCGTGACCTCGGAACCCCCAAAAGGCTTACATGGGTCTTGAGGCTGAGGAATGTATCTTCAGGGAGGTAGGTGTATGGCTTTCGACTTCTTCGGCTTCAGGGTTGAGGTGCGGTAGTGCAGCATACAGTTCGGGACCAGCAAGGCTATGCAAGCCTCGAGATTGTCAGACGGACTCTGAAGACCGAGTTGTATGAAGCTACATACTCTTCAACCCTTGCGTAATCAACCATCAGCAGTGCTGAGAGTTTCAACCTTCCTCTGGCTCTAACATTGTTCTAAAGCTGTTGCCTAGACCCGCAGACTCTTCACAAGAGACCATCTACTTCTTGAAGCGTTAATGTGCCGCAGGTGCTGACCCTGTGCCGGTGACCTCCGAGGCCACTCAGGAGGCTTGCTCTCCGAGTCATCGTGCCATCGCTGTAGCTCAGCATGTAGCAAGACTTGGCGGCCGATTTGTTTTAACATAGGAACAACAGGACAGTACTTACTGGACGTACTAACAACAATACATACGCTCAGACCTGTGCTTAGTTACAATCGTTCTCACCGCCGCCGCCGTCGTCGTCAACGGAATCATTTCTTCTGATTGTGGTGGGTACTTCCTCTTGAAACTATGAACAACTAGCAGACCGAAGCTATGAAAACAAATGACTCGCTGCAAGGTTTTTAGACATTTGCCAAGACTGAAACCTTGCCACAAGCACCTGCAAACCATCACCGCGGCATTTTGCCAAGACAAAAACACCTTACCACAAGCACCGGAACCATCCCCGCGGCATTTGCCAAGACGTAAACAATGCGACACATCTGCGAACCATCTTCGCGGCATTTGCCAAGATCGAAAAGCCTTACCACAAGCACTGCAAACCATCACCGCGGCTTCTGACAAGACCAGAACTTTGCCGCACACAGGAGTGGCGAGTAGAGTGGGAGTGGTTCTAATTAATTTCCTGTCCAAGGTTTTTGAAGAGTGCTGCAGACTTAAATCTGCACGGTATTTTGTCAACGGCACCCTATCCAAACAATGCTGGCACCTTTCCGAAACTTAAAAGTTCGTTGAGGAGGCTGACTGTCTCGATAGGAGGGAAGAATCTGGAATGCAGGCTTCGCAACCTCAACCGTCCTGAGCTCAACAGGCCTCTTCATCCGACAGGGAATCACAAGGCACCCAAGTTAACGTTTACGCAACATATGCCGCAGTTTCAGAGGACGGTCTTGAACTCCACATGTTCACTTTTTCCCGCATAAAAGTTCAACATGGAGGTCTTCCGAGGCTGTCGTGCTGTAGAGCCCGTGATTGGCATAGAAGATAACAAGGCCCGGCCCTGCAATGACTCTGGGCGCCATGATCCCGAAGTTTTCGATGCGATACCTTGCAACCACACGTCCTCCGAGCCACTAGATCAAGGAGAATTGTCCTGGAGTTAGGCATTGGACAACTGAGCTAGCCACTCGCCAGGTAAGCGCGGCAGCAACCACTGAGCCTGCGGAACATGCGGAGGTGGTGGGGGGGGAGGGTGGGGGGGGCAGGGTTTGTTGGCTTGAGCCCCTCCTTGCGATTAGTGAGGACCTCTGCAATGTCAGGCTACTTGAAGGCACATGAAGCAGAGGCCAAAAGATCTGCTCGCACAAGTTGATGGACCACATACCTGTGTGCTGGTTTTTGTGCGCGCGCAGTGGCCTGGGATAATTTGGGGTGAACCGTAAGCCCGAAAATCCATAGAGCCCAAGACTTCGGGCCCGAAAGGCTCAGCATTTTTCAGCATTTAATGCTCGAGCCGAGGAGCACAGGGTTAAGCAAGGACATGCGGGGGCTTCGGTGCTTGGAGTTTTGCTTCGGGGTGGTTTTCCTTAATGCGTAGCAGAAGGTTTTCGATTTGTAGAGGGCTCCAGCGGTCCAGGATTTTACCCCTGACAAATCGAGCGCTATTTTGTGTTTGAAGAACCGTTCTTTGAAGCATCGTGAGTCGCGCGCATCGAGCTGTAGTTGCGGAAGCCCGCGGCGTTTTGAAGCCTGGCTTTGGACTTTGTCTCAATGTGCCACATGTGCCTACAGTCACGAGGATGAGGCCCCCCTCGTGTGCGGCATACTCGTACTTGGCGTCACATTGAAGCCTGCTTGGTGTTGAGGCTGCTGAGGCCTCAAAAGTGCTGGCTGTGACCAAATTCGACAAAAAATAGGCACATGGAATGCGCCATCCTCGTAACTGTCGCTTTTCAAGCATCGTTTGTTGTTCATCTCAAAAGAGCAGACAGTTAGGAGGATGAGGTATGTGAGGTGTGCCATCCCCGTATCTGTCGTCATGTTTGAACCTTAATTGGCTTGATGTTCACGCCTCAAAGGTAGTGAGAGAGAGAGAGACCCAAACCAAGAAAGAAAGAAAGAAAGAATGAACGAAAGAATGAGTGAATGAAATAATGAAAGGAAAGAGGAAGGCTGACAGAGAGAGAGAGAGAGAGAGAGATGATAGAGATACGGAAAGAGAGACATAAGACACTTCATTTCGGATCTCGGGTCGTGCGCCGCGTCTCTTTTGTTCTCCGTGCTGTTGCAAGGGTGCACACATCCCATAAAGTACGGCGGCAAAACGCAAAGACGTCCAAACCTGCTACAAGCTGAATATCCTAGTCCAAGAACCACTTGCGATTGCTCGGAAATTTCTAGCAAGGGTCGCCCCTCATGGGCGCTCACATCATCAACCCGTAGCTGCCCAGCGTGTTTTCAATCAAAAAGGGTAAAGAAAGTGCAGATCCCTTGTCGTGGATGACCTTCGGGCGACATCCACATTGCCTGTGCAGGGTGGTCAGTGTGGTGTTCTTCGCAATACTTGCCACACGCGCCACACCTCACACACGCATAGGCACACGCCCCTAGGACGCCCACGCCCACCGGCGCGCACCTGGGAGCACCTGCGCACACGCGCACGTGCACACGGCACATGGGCGCAAGCGCACGCCGACAGGCGGCTCACGCGCAGAGCAGTCCGCATACCTAATCCAGCCCGGACAGCCCTGCCGCAGGAGCCGCCGACCTGCACGGTGCCGGCGAGTCCAGCAGCACCGGCTCCAACTTACAGAGCTTCAGGGAATTTCAGGGCACTTGTAGGCTTGCTCTGGTTTTTGGTTCAGGGTCTTGGGCCTAGCTGCCTAGCTTTCGGTCAGGGTTCTGTGGGAGGTGATGGAGTTGGGATTTGAGGCTTTGCAGCCATCGAGCCGAAGACGAGAGAGCCTAACGCTCAATCCTAAATCCTCAACGTCAGACAGTTTGACCCCGGAACCTCCAGAACTCCCAGGGCGAAGCCTGGTTGGGCATCTTGGGTGGTTCCTCAACCCCTGACAAACCAGTGAAACACTTCCAGCACTCCGAAATCCTCAGCCGCAGCAACCAGGAAGCAGCTCCTGCCGAGACCTCGAACGAGGCGGAAGTGGTGGAGGTGTGGGGGGCAGCATTTTAGGGCATCAGGTACAGTGTTTTGGTTGTCCCTGTTGTCGGATACGCTTCAGGTTTTGTCAGTGCGTGCCTCCTGCACAACTCTACCTATGTTTGAGTCTAGAGTCTAGAGGTAGAAGTCGAAGCGCGGCTTTGCTTCCTGGTACGCTGCGCCTCCTTTGGCAAAGCGGCCCCTAACAAACTTAAACAACCCTATACGTTTGCCCAACAACCACAAATTGTGCACTCCCGTTGCCAAGGTTGCGGAGAAGGTGCCGGAGCCAGCTCCAGAACTCACAACGAAGCCACAGCTCAATTTGTGGACGTGTGACTGGTTGCTGTTGTTCTTTAAGTGCTTTCTTGTGCCTCGTGTGCTGTCTGTGTTTTTTTTTTGTTTGCTTGTTTTGCTTTGCATTTACGGGTCTTTGGGGATGCGCGCGTGGATTGATTTGGGGTGAGCTTGTAAGGTGATTCTTTTCGTGCCGAAGCTCAGGATAAGCCCAGAACCCTAAGTTAGGAGATGCCTGTTGGCAGGTTTAAGGGTTTAGGGCTGCTGCATGTCGGTGTTATAGGGCTTCCAACATGCAGGTCCGTAGTTTCGCATACACGCTGCTCTGGCTGAAAGCTGAGGACCGAGATTTGGAGTCATATAAAATACAGCCCAGGTTTTCGACGATTTCGCTGCGGCGCTTATGAGTGGATGTCCGGTGTGAGGATGCGGGACGAGCATGGACAGAACATGTCAGGTGCAGGTGCGTGATCATTGTTCGACACACGCTACTCCCCAAACTGGAGAATCGCGCGGGCTCCGACACATCCCAAGCTCTGGACCCTCAGGAACTGCCCTTTCGTCAACCACTTAGCCATTGACCCGGAACCTTCTGCGGGTAGCAAGGTTGTCACGCACCTTTACGAGCGCTCGCGGCAAGTTTTTTTTCTTGGGGGGGGGAGGGGGTGGGCGGGGGGGAGGTTCGGGGGCAGTCTGAGTCTGACACTGAGGGCAGTCTTGAGACGCCACTTCTAGAGGGTCCGAACATATAACACATTTAATAAGTAACACTTTGCTTAGTTTGGACCTTTTTTTCAGCAAGAGGATCATTCTGGACTTAATGCTCAAGAACAATTATACAGTATGGGTTTCTGGCACCTAATTCCCTCGCCCTGAGCCCTAGACCCGAAACCTTTGGGGCCACTGATCTACTGCCAGACTGTGCTATTGAATCTACATGTCTTCTAGCTTCAGATTCTATTTTCTGGATCAAGAAGTTTCTTATCACGCTCCTGACCATCCCGGAGAATCAAAAAGCAAACCTTTCCCCCACGTGCAAAATCAATGTTACGTCGCAATTGCTGCTATTTGATCGAGGTATGTGATTTCGGTTTCCGATGAAAATCACAGGGTTTGTTCAGGGGGCTCGGGTTGCTTGACTGGAATATGTTTGGGCGACCATTTTGGCAAGCGTCATGCAGTGGTTCATCTGAACCGTGTCCGGGCGCCATTCTCGTGTGTTTTGAGTCTTTGTCAGAGATTCGTGTTCCGCGCAGGATCAAACCCTTTCCCCTGCTTGCAGACCATTCTACAACCCAAACTCTAAACCCGCTGAATGCTGCGCCGTATAGGCTTTATAAGTTGGCGCCTGAGGAACTCTGTCGTTGAGTCTCCTGCCATCAACCTCACGGGGGAGGACTGGGCCGCGTTCTTGACATTGAACGCCTAACCAAAACTTGAGGCCGAGAGACCATCAAGACAAGAGAAGTGTCCCTGAGTCACCGCGGTTGAGTCGAGAACGCAGCAGCCTGGAGTCAGAAACGCCCCGAAACCACGAACGACCTTCCCAGGCAAAACGCCAAACAATCTATTTGGCAAACACATCTACCCAAACTTTGGACCCTATTTTGCCGAGAGAGAAACCTTGGTGCCCTTGTTCGTGGGAAGGCTGTCCCAACGATTAGCCAGGGTGAGGAATGGAGTGCTACTTGGGGCCCCAGGGATTGGGCGCATAGTTTAGGCCCTTCAACACTGCAAGGGCCCCTGCTTTGGGCAACTCGAGTCACTGGAGCCGCGTGCGGAGATCTAAAAATCAGAAACGCCTTTCTCGTTACGCAGAGCCCATGAATAGTTCCAAGAGCACACCATGCTAGATGCAAGTCATATGTACGTTTGCCCGAAACATCCGCCCACACCAAGTTCCTAACGTCCTTTCTTGTTTGTGCTCGGAATGTTTCGAGGTTCATTAATGCTTGAATGGCAGCCGAACATCTACCCTGATACCGCAAATTCTAAGCCGTTTTAATCCTAGAGGCCCACGCGCAACCGTTTTGAGTTCAGAAACTTCAGGGGGCACCCTTTCAGGAGGCGCCTGCGGAACCATCCGAAGAGGCTGCTGCGCAGGCCCTTGAAGAGTCTAAGAATCTAAAACCTTCAACTTCCTGAGCCCTGAACTCTTTCAGCCTTTCAGCAGTCTGAAATCAATATACCACAGGCCAGTTGAAGGTGCCTAAAGGATGCGACCCAAGCTCTTAAGAAAGCCTATGCCAAGGTTTAGTACTTAGTTGAGGGATGTCGAGAGCTCAGGCCTGCTTTGTGGCTTTCAGGGTTCGGGTTCCTCGCGCCAGGAAGCAACAGAGGCAGCGGAGGCAACGAGACCCGTGGAAGAGACCGCGCAGGCGACTAGGGAGAATGACTGGGGTGTTGACTGGGCTGAGCATGAGCCACAGACAAAGCCCTGCCAAAGCCACAAGATGTCATCAAATCCACCAGTTCTACCTTATATTCGATTTCCACAAGGCCCCACCCAAGCAAAAGCTTCCGGCCGGACCGCTGACTGCTTTCGGATAAGTGTTGAGTGTCTTACTGGTTGCTCGAGACGGCGCAAGCTACTTCCATGTGATTTTTGGACCTCCTGCTGCGGCAAGGAGACCAAAAACAAAGAGCCTCAAAGGATGAGGGTTTGAACGAGTTCTCGCGCTTGGCTGGCAGCACGCTAGTTCCTTTCCGATGTTTACGGTGTTGACAGTTCTTGCGGTAACCATATTCGTCTCGGAAGAGATCGGAAGCCGCTGGGCGCTCCTCGATGTGCCTGCTTCTCTTCTCAACCTGTGAATGCCTCAAAGAGGCATTAAACGCATCCTGAAAACATCACGAGAAGAACTGTTAGTTTTTTCAGGGCGAAGCGTCTGACTGACCCAAACTTTACCCCGTTTTCAGCGGAGTTCGTTGCCTGTTGTGTTAATTGGCGTGGACGACTTTGGAGTGGCAGGCTGTGGCAGGTAGGTGGTCTCTCCATGTTTCCGCTTGCATTCGGATCAGTCTTTTCTTAACTCGGCCGGGGCCTTTGCAAAGCTTGAGGGCTTCCGAAATTAGCTCTTTTGAATCTATGTTTCCGTTCACAACCCGCCCAAGGTCTCGATTGGAGAGCATTGCTCAGGTTGAATGGCGGTGTCAGAAAGAGGCCAAAAAAAACCCACAGAGCACTCCCTTCTGTACATCGCCAAGCCCACAAGGGCTACGGGCTGCCATAAGATGTCTCCGGGTGTTTGTGGCTTATGGCATGTAGCGTATGGGACTGAAAGCTCGGATCTTGATGTTTATGAAAGGTTCTCGAGTTCCTCTCAGTTTTTCACCTGAAAACTTTAGAGCATGCTGAACCCGGGCCTTAGGACTGGGGGGTTTCGCCGGTCAGGAAGCGACCGTCCCGGCAGAGCCATCCAACGAGGCGCTCGTGCTGAAACCATTTTCGGAAAGAGCTTAGGCGACTTGAGTTTGCAGATTTGTTGGGTTTTTTGGGCTTATTGGGATTGAGTCTCAAGATGTCCCCGGGCCCGCGGGTTCGAGGGCAAATAGGGTAGGCACATTCGGGTTGTGAAGGCTGCCCTAGGCTTTTAGGTTTGCAGGGAGTGCATCGACTGAGAAACATGACTTCGGCCTGTGGTGTTTCTTGGTCTTCTTGAGACGATTACCCGTTTCGTTCCGGGGGAGTCGAAGAAGCTCAGTGGTGAGGTAGAAGAAGCTGCAGACACAGGGGCTTGAACGAACGGAGCTTCTTTTACCTGAATGCTCCCCATTGGGACAGGATGTACTTGTAGGGATTGTCGCCGGCGGGGAAGATTGTCACTGAAGTAAGCGGCCAAACTGATCCTAAAGTTCGAGAAGCGGAATCCTGCCCCCCTCCAACTGTTCACGCGGAACAGCTCAGGCTTCCGCAAGTTTCGCTAGTGTACCAGGGCATGGACCCTGCAAAATCTGTACCTGCCAGCTTGCCTAGCCTCATCCAGTCGTGGGTTACGAGCACGTTGGCACGTTGGCTGACGATCAGTCTTGGGAGGGGATCACATGCACGTTGTGCCAAACACTTCTATACAAACCGGTTTTGCGGTCCAATCTGCGACGTGGCATTGCAGTCATCAGCCTCCCTTTCTGATGCACTGCCTAGACAAAACATGTTGAATCATAATCCAAAATTATGATGTAAGGAGGGAGCCTTGTGGGAGGTGCTTCGGTCAATCCACCCGTGTGACTCGCTCGTCACAAAGCCAATTTGGGGGAGTCTGCTTTCTACAATTTAAAAACAAAATTTGAATCTGGGAACGGCGCTGTAGCAGGCTAAAGTATGTGGCGAGTGAGGGTTGAACCCACACCCTTTTTTAGCATCTTGGCCCTTAGACCGATGGATTGCCTTACAGCGTCTGAATTGTGCAAGTGGGCTTTCTGGGATTGAGGGTCTGGGCGCTGAGGATTCGGAGGCGTAAAGCGCAGTGTGCAAAGCGCAGTGTACAAGTCGAGGCCGCCTTGCAGGACGCGGTGAAGCCCACACCAGTGGAGGTGCTGGTGGGGATGCCCTTTGCAGTGCGGCTGCTTACACTTGATAAGAGACCCTTACCCCGCACCCTCAAGCCTGTGAGCCAAACTCGAAGCTCAGAGACCCTGAGGCCCTCAAACGATGGCTCTGAGCGAGTAAATTGATGGGGTCAGTTGAAGTCGAAGTCGAATTCCGGGTTGAGGTTCGGCCTTAGGGGCAAGGTGCTCGGCAACTGAGGCAAGTGTGCTGCATTTAATCTGAAATTCTGGAGAGTCTATGCCATGTACTCTCGGGTGGGCTTGAGTAGCCAGGAAGCCGCGCCACCAGCGGAGACCTCGAAAGAGGCAGATGCGCAAGTGAAGGCGGCGTGTAGCTTGCACACTTCAACGCAGTGATGAGAGACAACCTCCGAGGCATAAACCCGCAGCGCCCTCAATCTAAGTTCTAGCAGCAAAAAATCCAGGCCTACGCAGTTCAGGGTGACAAGATAAGGCAGAGGGCCCTCCTAGGGCTGGTGAAGCTAGAGCTGTTGAAGCTCTTGGGTTGTAGGATTCTTGAGGATGCTTGCGTTTAGGCTTTGGAGATATGAGCCTCTGGGGTATGGCCGATGGGCGTAGACTCATGGACACTTTCAATCCACGCATTGTTCTCCCAAACCCAAGAATTGCGGGTCTCTGTAAATCCTTCCGAAAAGGGCTGAATAGTAGGCCATGTGTGGCGCAGGGCTTCCAAGCCCCGAAGGCCTCGGATCCGGAGCCGAGCGCCACGACGGCGGACGTGCCGGACTCCGAGGCCAAGGCCGGGACCTTTCGGGTCACGTGAGGGGTTGCCACATACCTGGGCGCATACTTGTTTTTGCATGCTGAACTTGAAGCGAAGACGGGCGTTTACTGGTGTAGATGGAGCTCTGTGAGGCCTTTCCCAGTTAAACTCTTGATCTCCCAAGCCGGTATCGGGACCTTGAAAAGCTCCCCTTGTTGCTGCGACGTCTTCGTTGCTTTTGGGTTGGCAAGACAGAGACTTAGAGCAAGGTTGTGGGCAAACCTTGTTTAAGAATGAGCGTTCTAGAGGGTCTTGTACATGTATATGTGTATGTGTATGACCAGACACTCTTTTTCATTTTTCGAATGTAGGCCCCAACCCTTAAACCCCAAACCCCGTGGCGCCCATCCGTCGTTTTAGGGAGGCCTCAACCGCTGGGCCGGGAGCTTCAAGTTCAAACTGATTCAAGCTCCCACGCTTTCGAAACCAAGAGAACCCCAAACCCTGGCGGCTCATCTCAAGCCCAAGGGGAAGGATAGTACGAGTACCGTCTTCTTACTGATTCTGGGCGTGGGGCTAATTGTGGAGCCAAGATCACCAGCTTCTTCCTGCGGCCTTTTCATACCTCTGCGGCATCTTTAAGCCCTTGGTACTTGAGCATTTGTGATTGCTTGTCTGCTCTTGGTGTCGAGAGCCCCTATCAACAACATAAAGCGCCCAAGTCACCAGCTAATTCAGTTTGACCGTCTGCGATTGAAGCAACGAGTAAGAGAAACTAGCCGCAAGTAGCATACATATGAGACGAAGCAAGTCCATAAAATCACGAAGAGCGAAGGGCGTCTCGACCGTCTCGGCAGACGTGGTGCCGCCAACGGTGGTGGCCGAGCTTGCATTGGGATGCTTTCAGAACGGCACCATAGACCATAGCGGCCATAGCTGCCTCAGCTTCTTCAGCTTTCGTCTCGGGGCTGTACATTGTTGCAGGTGGGGTGCTCTGTAGAAGCGCAGTCACAATTTCAGAATATCTTAATGACCTCAAGTTCCACGGTCACATATGCGACGTGCCCGCAGAACCATCGAAGTCTCTAGGCATCAGGGACAGCGGGATTTGCAGCCCTGAGCACCCAACCCTAAACTTAAACCTTAATTCCCAGTCC